CCAAAATTTGTCTTTTTGTTTTTTTTTTTTTTTAAGGGTGATTAAGTGGGGGTCGGTGGGGGGGGGGGTATGTACACCCCCTACTGTCCTATTTATAGTCCTGTGTCCACACATCACAACTGTTAGTATGTGCTGAGATATGACGGAGAAAAGGTGCAAAGATCATGTAATGCGGAGCTAGAGGAAATTATGGATTTAACTTGGACCTCAAGCAGCTTCACGACTCAGGATGGCGGCATAGCGCTAAATCCCGATTTTGACCAGCGTTGAGTAAGTTACTCAAGTATTTTTCCACATATATTCACTTTCAACAAATATGCGGTTCTGCTGTCATCTTGAAAGTGTTTGTTACCTAATCTTGTTAAAACGTCATCACCAGGGCCACATCTGACTAAGGGACTAATCGGCCCGGTCATTTGTAGAAGAGACTGAAAAAAAAAAAAGTTTAAAATTTGTATGTAAAATATAAATGTTTAAAATGATAATAATGTCTAATTTATAATGGAATACTCATTCAATAATTAGTCAACCTCTTCATTAATGAATTTCATTAGAATCAATTAACCACAAAGATAAAACTGTTATATGTACATTAACGAATGCCACATGTGGCCCGCAAGCCATACCTTGCCCCCCCACCCCAATTGAGTACACAGAGGATTTTGATGATGTTTGAATTCAAGCAAAGTTGGATCGCAACATTCCAAATGCTACGTTGCAAATAATTTGTGTGATAATGAATGTCTTCTATGGCAGTGGGTCTCAAATGGGGTCCCAAGACTCCTGTTTAGGGGTCCCCAAAATAATTCTCCCCCCAAAATTTGGTTGTAATATTTTTAAAACGTGTATAGCTACGTATTGGGCCTGGTACATTAAAAAAAAACAACAAAAAAAAAAAAAACAAGATAAACTAGTGAGCTTTGTTAAAAACTCTGATGTGATGAAATATCATCATACAAATTTTATATTATTAAATCAAGAACTTTTTTTGTTTGTTTTTTACAAAAGGTATGATAAAATAAAGTCTGATTATTTTTTTTCAAGAACAATCAAGATAAATTTTTTGAGAATTATTAGTGGATCAATGCGTCTTTTTCCAGAATAGAAGGCCTCCTGTATCATAAAAATACAATTCTGTTTTTTAAAACTGACTTGTTAAACTATGACTTTCCTGACTCGTTAATCTTTGATTTAAAAATCCTAACAGTATGACCTAAATTTAGGAAAATAACTTTTTCTCATAAGATTAATTTTTTTTTCACCTGAAAAAAAAAAACCTTTGTTGCTTTAATGATTACGTTACTTTTCTTTTAAAAAAAATTAAAAACATACTTTAATCCAAAAACAAAAAACAAAACAAAAAAACCCTTTATCGTAACCTTACAACTTTTTGTCTGGCTGTTGCGCCGCATCCTGGATCGGATGTTAACATTTAAAATTGGAACGCTAACCGCCTGAAATGTTCTATTGGCAAATCACTTCGTCCCAAATCCAATATCACTGTTTATATTCTCTCATACTATAATTAGCCCCTATTTATTGGCCTGCACACTTATCATGTACCATAGTTGCAAATAGCAATTTTATGTAAATTAGCTGTATGCTAACTAGGGCATATCTGCGCCGGTAGGGTACAAGGCAGTATTCTTCAATGTGCAATTATCCCCTTCAAATATATATAATAAAATGAAAAAGAGTTACATCATATTCAATAGCCTAGTCTTTAAAGTACCATATTTATAGAATGGTTTATGCAGAGATGTATAACTTATCGTATGTCTGTGCACTTATATTGTATCATAATGCATGGTCTATGCGTCCATAATCACCACTTGTTTAACAGTGCGCACATAATGCACAACACTTACAGTTTATCAAACAAAAAGGTCTGTGCACCAGAGGTGCCAAATCCGGGTCCAGAAAGTAAAAACCCTGCCCGGGTTTGGCTTTAGCCACAGGTGCTTCTGTTCAACCGGCAAGTAAACCAGCTCGTTTGGATTTCATACCTCTGCTGAGCACCTATCATGAACCATATTTCATTGTTTGTGCACCCGTCGAGGTTAATGAAGCAGCTACGCCATCGCCCATGTCAAAATTGGGCCACATTGAATTGTGTCACTTTAGAGACAATGCATTGCAAGATAGAACGCAGAAGAGCAATGAGTGCCAATGTGTGTGCGTGTGTGTGTGTGTGTGTGTGTGTGTATTTTAAATCAGCAGAATGACAGAGTGGACATTCTGATGGAAAGGTCACTTTCCAAACTGGTCGCCAGAGCACAAAGTCAGGGCAAAGCTCCCAACTCAAAAAGAATGCAACTCGGGATGTTGCAGGTTTTTGACATAAAAAAAAAAAAAAAAAAAAAAAAGCCGCAAATTTTAGAACAAGATCTTTTTTTCTCATCAGCCATTTACCACAAATTTTTGGCACAGATTGATGGCTTTTATTGGCTGACCACCATCTGAACCAAAAGGAAAAGCCCATTTGTTTGTTTTGTTTTTTTGGGGGGGAGTTGAAGAATTCTTTGCCTGGGTGTCTTCAGTATAAAATTAAAGGATGAGGCGACGAGCGCGAAAAAGTCAAGAGTGGTTTTGGAAACCGCCATGTGTGTGTTTGTGCCTGTGTGTTTTATAGAAGCCAATTTCAAGTTGTTTACCAGCGAGGTCAGTGGTATGACTGTGTTTACAAAAGAACAACGGAGCTAAGCTAACCTCGCTCCAAGTCCCCCTTTTATGGAACATACCGAGGTAACGTTTCGTGCTGAGCAAATCATCCCTAAACTACAGGAACTATTAGCAAAAGCTAATTAGTTCCACAATCTATGAGAGCTGTGATTATAAACACTTTAGAGAGCTTATTTTTTTGTGAGATTCAATTAATTTTTTAGATATGAATGAGATTTTCAGATAATTTTGTTGCTGGCGTGGCACGATAGTTGACTGGTTAGCATGTCCGCCTCACAATGCAGAGGTGCGGGGTTCGATTCCGGATGGGGCCTTCCTATGTGGAGTTTGCATGTTCTCCCCCATGTCTGCGTGGGTTTTCTCCGGGTACTTCAGTTCCCTTGCATATTCCAAACACATGCATGGCAGATTACACCCTGATCCCTCATTCAGGATCCTTTGTGCCTCGGAAAAATAGTAATTCAATTTTGCGAGTGCTTGTCGCGTGAAGTCACAGAATCGTGGTATGTTTTAGTGAGAAACAACAAATTAACTAATACTCTCTGTATTAGTTAATTTGTTGTTTCTGTAGCAAACTGTTGTTTCTGTAGCAAAACCTGTTTTGGAAGATTAAAGATTTGTATTCCTACCTTGCTTTACAAGAGTGCAGAGAATATCTTGGTGGGTTTGATGTCCAGATGCAATGCATGTGTCCCTTTGATTTGCACAGCACCTCACACTTCTAGGAATGAATTCCAAGGTTCCTTGGCCCATAAACTATGGCATTGAAAGAGAAAGATAATTCATTAAAACACTTGAAATCTTTCTGTTGTCTTCATAGCAATATTGATATTGTTTGGAAAACTGAAAATTCAGATGGGAGACCTGTGAGCAACCCACGATTACTGCTAGAATTGGCTGTTTTTTTTTTTTTTTTTTTTTTGTGGTGAAGGAATTTATGGAAGACTCATGACCTTTGACAAGACGTGTGTAGATGCTCTGTACAGAAAGGTTGATTAGAAAGCGACCGAAAGCTGGCGTTGCTGTCACGCAGACAAAAGCTAACAGTTCGCCAACTTCTTCTGTATCCTCTTCTACTTTTACTTTCTACCCTGTGACACCATGCTACCACTCACAGGTCAGTCTTGGCGCTACCACAGACATTGTTGGGTGTGTTGCACATTTGGAGTATGCAAGGAACTCGAAAAGGAGTAAGAACACACATGCTTGTATTTTTCCTTGCCATGTGTTGTCTTGAGTTAACATGTTAAGATCGGTATGTGTGGACACGGCTTCAATAAGTCTCTGTACACTTCTGTTTTGAGTGAGATTATTCAAAAAACATTGTACTCACTCCAAACAATGATTGAAAAGTAATTTTCTCCATTGTAAATCATTTTTGTTTCCGGGTAAACAACACCCACATGAATGACAACAATGCGTGCAAATATACTGAAAGAGGTCTCGGGCGCGCCTGGCAGGGCCAAACACAAATTATGGTTTTAGAGGGGGCTGGGAGTAAGACAGTGTTATGACCCTTTTCTGTGTGGTCTGTCACCAGCTATAAACTCAACTGGCCTCCTGCTGCCCCCCCCTGCTGGGGGTAGCTGGCATAGTTGACCCTGGTTAAAATTCAACTGGCCCCTCAATGAGCTCCTTTTTCAATGACCTGCTTGGTTTAAAATGAAAAAGGAAGTGGATTTATTGTGATTAAAAACACTACTACTTATACTGTTGCTCATTTACCAGTAAATTTAATACAATAAAAGTGATCGGTTTTATGCTGAGGAATAATAATTTTTATTTCTTGTCCTTGTTATTATTATTGTTATTTAATATTTTTATTGGGATAAATATATATTTCAAATATAGGCACACAAAACTGCACCATTGTTATAAAATTACTTTAACCTCAGAGATGGACATTTTTTTCTCCAGACAACACATTATGATTAATATTATTAATATTTAGAGACAGATTAATGATATATATATATTTTTTGTCCTTTTTTTTTTTACAGTGAACTCAGCTTGGCCGATTGAAGTGCCCCTTTTTGACCACAGGAGGCGATATCCCGCGGAAAGGCAGGACGGAACATGAAGAGAAGCCATGACGGATGTTGTGACGTGTCCAATGGTCGCCATTTCCCGGAGGAAGGAAACGCCTTGAAGTTGCCACAAGGCAAAAGCTCCTTGTAAGTGCTCAGCTGAGAAACTACTTTCTTCTTTACCCTGCGTTGTGTCATTGCGAGTCCTGTTTTGTTATAAGCGGGGGGCAGCGTTGATGAGAAGCGGCAGGGGTAAGTGTCGAGGAGCGAAGCGCTAACCGAATCGGTTGGCTAACTTCCCGAAGTGTAACATCGGCCGTCTTCGGCAATTCACTTCATTTAAACAGTCTCTCGAATAAGTGCCGCCGACGCCTCGCGATATAACGTTTTCTGGTTACGTGACGACTTGATTAAGTGTTTGTCATTTGTAATTTGATATTCAACTCATTCTCAACACCAGCCGGTGCTTATTTCTTATACGCCGAAGGGTGGTTTTAACGTTTTTACTTCATTTGAATGTATTTTGATTTCAAGAACTGCTCATAATTTTGGCTTGGTCTGAAATAAGAGCGCATCCCATTTCGGTTACGTCACTGTCGCACCTGAAGCAACCTCTCCATGTCCAAGCTATGTTGACAATGGGTGTTTTGTTTCTCCAGACAAGGCAAACGTACATTCCTGTCAGCACATTCCTGTCAGCAGCAACAGTGCCAGCCATGGGAAATATATTTGAAACCCTGTTCAAATTCTTGGGCAAGAAGGAAATGAGGATCCTCATGGTGGGCTTGGATGCGGCAGGCAAAACCACCATTTTGTACAAACTCAAGCTTGGGGAGATTGTTACCACCATCCCAACAATAGGTAAATAGGCATCAGCGTGTTTGTCAGTGTTCTGGGTGTGGACATTAACGTGACCGTACTTTTGCCTTGCAGGCTTTAATGTGGAGACGGTGGAGTACAAGAACATCAGCTTTACGGTGTGGGACGTCGGTGGTCAGGACAAGATTCGACCGCTGTGGCGTCATTACTTTCAGAACACACAAGGCATGTGTTAAGGCGTCACGCTGCATCTTGCCGAAATGGCACAACGTTATCTTTAGTGCACGCATAACCATTTTAAAAATGTTAAAAACCCAAGCAGGGAGAAGAAAAATGTGCGCTTACCAATGTTGGGCAAATTACGTTCCTTTAAAACAAGTCAGTTAACTAGTAGTCACTTTCTCAGAAAAGTAATAATTGGTAACAATTTAAAAACCTGAAAAATGTCAAACATTTTGGATTTTTGAGCATGGCGCAGTGTGCATATGTCATACTGTACATTGATTATTTTAATTTTATTTCCAGAAAAGTAACATTTGACGTTACTGCCGATGAAGGCTGATTTCATTTGTCAATATATGACTGGGCTCACACTGTTCCTCAGACCTCACACACCATTACTTGTTGACTCGTGCGAGTGCTTGTTTTCGTTTGTTCCAACAGTACCTCCTAAACTCCCTCTGAGTGGCTTACAATGAAATTTGAATCGACCTCACCCAATCATCATCACTTAGGCGGTTTTCTCGCGGCCTCACTTCAGTGAACTTGCTGGTCTGAAAACAGGTGTAGTGAACTAATAAGTAACTTCCTGCATTATTTGGCAATAACGGCAAAAGGCACAGTCACGATTGAAAAGTTGGAGTACATGTTTCTGAAAAAGTAACGCTGTCTTTTCACAACATTGTTATAATTTAGGAGCAGAAGTTAGCTTTTGGCAAATATGTTGGCAGCTAAGAATTAATACAATCGATGGTTCGATTTATACCAATATCAGCTAACCGGCGAGGAAAACACCTCTTCACACAAGATACTCCTTCCTGTGGTGTGGCTTGATCATTGGTATGCGTGTACCCTGCCTAAGGTGTGTTTCTGTCACAGGTCTCATTTTTGTGGTGGACAGCAACGACCGAGATCGATGCTCCGAGGCTCGCGAGGAGCTCATGAGGATGTTGGCCGAGGATGAACTGAGCGGCGCTTTGCTATTAGTTTTTGCTAATAAACAGGTGAGTCGTCTTCCTGAAAGAATTGCAATCCGACTTCCGTCAACATGTGCATTGTTCACACGCATGAAAACCCAATAAAACCTCATGGAAGTGAGGTATAAGTACAAAGGCCATTCAGTACCCGCAAATGGACGTGCACAAGCACAAACCCAAATGTCCATTTCCAACCGCGAATTTGTATTTGTCTTCCGAGCGACTTGTTTCCTGAGCATTCTGATCATGTATCTTTTCCAATGAATGCCTTCCAATGTGGTTTTGACAGGACCTGCCCAATGCCATGACGGCATCTGAGATCACAGACAAGCTGGGTCTTCACTCCCTGCGCGACAGACAATGGTACATCCAGGCTACCTGCGCCACAAATGGGGAGGGCCTCTACGAGGGACTCGATTGGTTGTCCAACAGGCTGAAAAACCACTAACGCTCACCTCATACGTTTTTACATTCTGCCTTTACTGAGCTGTCGTTACAGCAGACACACTGGATGATTACCTCGTTTGGCCAAAGCTGACGCGTTTGTATTTTATGTAATAGATTTTGGTAATGGGCCAACTTTACTTGAATTTTTCTGGTCTGATTGTTTGACTTTCGGTTGGGTGATAAATGAGGGAAGTGTGGAATCAACTTTTCCCAGCAACCATACGACCAATTGGCAAAAAAAAGATGCACTTGCGACAATTTGCCAGAATAACAAGATCCAGGCCGCCTCCCATTTGGTAAACACTGGAATGTTACATGCAACATATCTTGTTGGAAGGGCATTTTCTTTTTCTATTTTGTCTGTCTCAGGTCCACGTTTGCCTTAAAGAGCATACACTAACTTAAAAACGATGCACAACTTATCACACGTTTGGCCCGCCTTGTACTGTATGCATTGTGACGGTACAATGTCGTGGCTGTACTCGATGCCTTTTGGAAAGAGAGGAAAGGCTTTTGAACAGCAATAAAGAATATTTCCTCTGCATTTTTTGCTTTGCACATGGTTCACGTTTGGTATAAACAGAAACCTATATCATGCCTTCATCTATCAAAGTGTTGCCTCTTGTTTTTTCCTCAATGTTACTGCACTGTTCTGAATATAGATGGGGGTGGGGGTATTTTTGTGATTTCTAATTATTGAAATATTTGAATTAATCTATGGGTGTTGCGAGTTAAGAAGCACTGTAATAAAAGTGAAATGGATTCAGTGTACCTGTAATTGATTTTTCTCTATACTTGACTGCAATAAAAGTGGTTCAATGTTACAAAATTAACCATTAATGCATTTTTTTTAATAGTACAACATTTGCCTCAAGAGGGATAAACAAATTTATATTTCAAATGTGTATGACCCCACACTTGATGAAAAACAAAAAAGGAAGTGTGTGCTTCCTGGTGTTGTGTTCATGCGATGTACAGAGAATACAAAAAACCAAAGAAATAGAAGCTCAGCTAAGTTATACTTTGTAAGTGCTCCTTTCAGCAACAATTAATGCCTCAAGTCTTTTTGGATATGATGCCACAATACAGGCTTGCCACACCGATCTTGGGACAGTTTCGACCATTCCCTTTTGCAGCACTTCTTGAGCTCCAACAGGGCGGATGGCAAGAATCTGTCAAGAGCCAATTTCAGACCTTTCAGGGGATGTTCAATCAGATTCAATTCTGGGCTCTGGCTGGCCTACTTAAGGACATTTCCCAGTTGTCCTGAAGCCACCCCTTTGATATCTTGGCCGTTTGCTTAAGGGTCATTGTCCTGTTGAAAGATGAACCGAGTCTGAGGTCGGGGAACTCTGGAGCAGGTTTTCATCGAGGATCTCTCTGTACATTGCAAGATTCAGCTTTCATTTTGTCATTGTGGGGAGTCATGTGCAGAATTTTGTGGGGATTTTTCTTTTCTATAGATGTCGCGCAAACCTTGTTATTCTAGGTAAAAATCGTACACAAATGAAGGGGTTAATTATTTAAATGTACTTTCTGGTTGCGTGACACTTCTATCTTCGATTGACAAACAGCTCGAGAAAAAAGGGGGTGTCATAACTGCACTCATTAGGTGACCCAGTGGGAGAGCAATGTGTTGCCTATGGCTGTAGGAGAACACTTAAATGTTTGGCCTGAAGCAGTGAGTGACCTGCCGCATGCACGCTGCGTAGGCTAGGGAGGGAATCTAGAAGGGCATTCTTGCAGGTTGATTAGGCTGCTATGGTTCATGCAGCCATGCCTATAAAATGGAGGCGGTGGCAAAGGGGTGGGGAGGGCAAGTCCATGGCTGCTCATAGGGAGGCTTTGTGTGGGCCGTCCTGTCCTGCTGCTCCATCAGCTTGGTTTGTGTGTGGCACACTAATGCGTAAAAAAAAAAAAAAGTGGGGGCATCTGTTTTTTTCTTTCTTTCTATGAATTCCTTGCTCTTTTTTTTTTTTTTTAATGCACCCCCATAGGTGCAGCCCCTCCTCATTTAGGACCCATACAAACACAAGGCTCTAATCGGAGCAGCTATTACAATGGCAGTGAACCAGTCGGAGGTGTGAACCTTCAAGGGATTAACAGGTCTCTCGTGGCATTAGAGAGGGACAAGTTCCAAGTCGTCATTTCAAACATTTCCCCCCCATATAAAAGCGTAAACTGAAGTCCTTTGCTCAAGGCTCAAAGCGTCACCATACATAAAAAAAAAAAAAAAAAAAACATATCAAGACGTAGTTTTCACATAAACATAAAACAAAGCACAACTACTCACCCTATGAAACCACGGGACATAACGGAGATGGTTTGCAGAGAAGTTCTGCTCATTTTAGACTACCGGTACATGCTTTTTGGCTCATGATATTTCGGTTAGCGTCTGCAGGGTGATGTTTTTGATTCCGTACCTTAGTTAGCTTCATGTTATTTAGGTTAACTTCTGCTCGGTAACATTAAGACAAACATTCTTCAACCATTAAAAAAAAAAAAAAAAAGTCAAGTAAAACTACTCACCCTTTGAAGATGCCTGATACAGCGGATATTGTTGGGGAGCTTCTCCAGTCATTTTCATGCTAGTTGTCACACTTTCAAGTACAGGATATTTAGGTTAGCATCAGCTTGGTGACAGCACAAGAATTCTTTCACCCCGATAAAATATTTACAAGTCAAAACTACTCACCCTTAGAAGACACCTGGCACATTGAAGATTGCTAGCCGGCTTCTCTAGTCATTTTCAGGTACAGCACAGTTCGCTTAGCAATCTGCTGAGTAACATCAGTACAGGGATATCCTAAACATGTTAATAAAAAGTACAATCAAGTAAAACTGCTCCACTTTTATAAGGGCTTGACATAATGGAGCTTGTTGGCGAACTTCTCTGGTCATTTTCATGCTTGTCATTATTAGTGACTTGCTATACTTTTGATGAAACACTATTTAGGTTTGCATTTGCATAGTAAAAAGAGTAAAAAAAAAATTACCTCAACAACTGCATAATGAAAGTAAAATACATTTAAACTACTCACCCTCTCGGGACATTTTCATATTAGTCATCAGCCATTATAGTGCTTTTGTTAGCATAAAGGATGTCTGCTTGTAAAATTACTTTAAGTTATGCTATCAACAAATAAAACAAAGGAATGTGTCTTTTATGTATGCAGTAAGATACATCTGCTGTTCTATGGCTACTGTTGCCTTTGAGGTATCAAGTTAGTAATAAGACTTGACTAGGAGTTAGTAATACTGTATGTCCAAAAAAAAAAAAAAAAAAAAAAACTACGGGCCAATTCTGAATGGTACATGAAAGGTTTAATCATTGTGATTGAGGATAAAAACAAAGAAGTGGTAATAAATGGCAAATCAACAAAAATGGCCCTCAAAACCTCCATTAGGTAAATGAGGTCTTCAGGAGCGCTCAAGCTTTTGAAGAGCGTCTTTATGAGTGAGCGAGTGGGAGGGGCGGGTTGGGACTGGGTGACGGAGAAGCACATTAGCTGTCCGAGTCTGTGTCGTGGCGTCGCCTGTGGCTTTGTGCGGCACCGCCAGGGGCCGTCTTGTGGCCCGAGGGGTTACAGGGGACAGGGGACCCCCCATCGGAGGTGTCTGTGTCGTGGCGCTGCTGTCGATGATGAGGGCGTGGGGGCTGTTGCTGTGCTTTCGGTCCCCCCCTTGAATGGCTGTCATGGGGTCTGGCTCCACTCTGACTGCGGTATGATGGATTAGGATGGTGGTGGTCCTTTCGGGGCCTGAAGAGCAATAGAAAGCAAATAATCAGACTTTGGCTTCTCATCCTTCTCTTGAATCATGAAGGCAGGCATTTTAGAGCGAGAAGCATCCCAGTCGCCTCCAACAGAGTTGTGTGCGTCCCCATTAGTATCGCATTCAGATTACTGAATTTTGTCTACCCCCACTTTCCCGCCCATTTCCACTTTCAATGTAGATACAGATTAAAAAAATAAATTAATACAAATAGGAATTTATCTAAAAATAGTTGAACTGGGTAAATTATTTCATGAATTTATTTTTAAAGACTTGATTAGGATTACGCCTTACAAAAAAAAAAACTAAATGTTGCCTTTACAACATTACAACATTGCGTAAGAAACCATCGACATGATTTTTCAGATGACTAGGCAAATTAGGGGTGAATTGCAGTTTAATGATGCTTCAGCACTATGAGTTCCACTTTTTAAATGTAACTACTGAAATAAATGAAAGTTTCTATAATATTTCAAGACTGTGTCCATCCATCCATTTTCCGATCCGCTTATCCTAACAAGGGTCGCGGGGGGTGCTGGAGCCTATCCCAGCCGTCTTCGGGTGTAGGCGGGGGACAACCCGAACCCGGTTGCCAGCCAATCGCAGGTCACACACAGATGAACAACCATCCGTGCTCACACTCACACCTATGGACAATTTCGAGTGTTCAATCAGCCTGCCATGCATGTTTTTGGAATGTGGGAGGAAACCGGAGTACCCGGAGAAAACCCACGCAGGCCGGGGGAGAACATGCAAACTCCACACACGGAGGCCGGAGCTGGAATTGAACCCTGTGAGGTCAACGCGCTAAGCACTGCACCGCCTCTATGATTGTATATTGTATTTAATTTTATTCAAGGACGATGTACTTTTTCCCCCCTAAAATACATTTGTCATCGGTCCTAGTCTTCAGTAAATGAGTGTATACTTAATTTTTTCTGTTGAAACAAATATATCTTATGTATTTGTTCTCCTTTTGAATAAAAATCTCCATAATAATGAAAACATGAACGATTATTAATAAATGCCTCGCCCCAATGCAGTTGAGTTAAATCCTTTTCCCTCCTTTTTTGATTGTCTCCGGTTTATTAGAGAGCAGCAGGCTGCAGTTTCCACACTTCCAAAACTCAAGCAATTACCGGTTGGTTTGAGGTGAGGTGAGTGACGTCTTAGCGCCCTCTAGTGAATCTTTTCTAATCATCACAAATGTATCTGAACTAAGAGTAGCTTGGTGTAAAACGAATATAAATCATGTATAAAGTGTCCTAAAATGTGCTCACTGTTCAACCAACCTCTTTCTGTCGTCATCTGAATCCGAGGAAGAGTCGCTTCTCTGCCTCTTCTTTTTCTTCTTCTTCTTTTTCTCCTTTTTGCTCTTCTTTTCTTTCTTTTTCTTCTTGCTCTCCTGACTAAAACTATTCAACAAAAAAAAATAAATAAAAGCAAAATGAGTTAAGAGCCTGACTCGGACTGTAAAAACGTATTTATTTCCAGCAAAGCGATGGGATGCCACATGAGGGAAACTCACACAATACAATGAGAGCCAACGGAAGACCTGCATTTCAGTCTGCCTTTCCGAAAATAATGAACGCTCAAAACACCGTTTATTATTGCGGTGGCAGTTTACGGCGCCGTGCAATTCCACACTACGGCAAACAACAATGACGATCATACTGTGAATAAGTTAACATTGTTTTTACAACGAGCAGAGTTTTTGAAACAGCCCGTTTAGTACTTTATGCAAGTGGGGCTAATGTAGTGTAGTACGCATGCTTTCTTACCGTTGCTCTACCTCTTCTTTTTCTGCACTCTCTGACGACTTTGCAGTTGAAGTTTCTGGATGATTTGCAGCCTTATGGTGCTGAAGTAAAAAAAAATAATTCTTATGTTTCATCAAGCTGTAGACAATAAAGCCTTCACGAATAAACAGTCACCACATGTATAGAAATGCATACTGTGGAACCAGTTTTAAAAGCTGAATGCAAACCCTTTTAACTGAGGTACTCCAATTACTCAAGGGCTCATTTCAGCCCTTATCACTAACATTTTCTGAAATGAGGAAATACTTTTAAGTCAACCAGCGTCACAGAACATGTTGTGTTTCAGCTTCGGAGCGTTTCACTGCAAATCAAGCGTTTAAGTTTGGGTTTACCGTAAAAACTGGAAGGCCCATTTTAACAGCCTCCTTTTCCTTTTGGGTGAGGACCATTTTTCGTGAGCCAGCGCTGTAAATAGAAACAAACACACTTGTCAGTCATGGGACTTGAGAGAAGAACAACACAGCTCTTATCTGCGATAAGCAGCTTGTTGAGGCTGAATGTCAAGAGGAATATTGTTAATTGGACGCAAATACTGTACAACCGGGAAGTGGCTAGAGTAATGTATTTTTTTAAAGTGCATTACGAAACGATAAGCAAACCAGAACAACTTGTTCAATAAGTACAGTAGTGATTTGATTAGCATTATTGAAAATACTGTATTACATTTATATAACAGTCTTTAAGAAATTGTCACACTAAAAAGAAAAAAAAAACATACCTGGAGCTTCCCAATCCCGAGAGCCGATCCACATTTTTTTCTTCACCATCATCATCTTCTCTTCTACACATATCTGCCAAGTCCTATGGGAATGCCAGCCATTTGGGTTAATGGATTGCTTCAAAATGGGTAAAAAAGTTTTGGGGTGAAAGAAAACAGGGTGGAATACAGTACCTCTTTTGTCAGTCCAGTGGGTTGTCTCTTTATGACCTTATGACCTCTACATTGACAGTGACAATTAGTTGTACATAACACTTTTTAGACATTGTATTAATTATTTTACCAATTACAGTAACATATTCTGGGTGGCACACTTACAACGCAGCCATCAATGCGTCATGTTCTGCAGCCTTTACAGCAGCGAGCTCCTCCTCTTTAGTTCGGGCGCGGCCAGTTTTGTCTTTAGCGTACCATGTCAGATCTTTGCCTTTTTGCCATCGACCAACTGGAGCCATGAGAGAATTTCCTGCAAGAAAGAACAAAAACAGAAGACCGTGAAAAACTATTTTCCCCAGAAGAAATACAGAGTGCCCTTGGTTCCGTTCCTTCAATTGCAACATAATCCATATTTGTGCATAAATCGAAAAAACACCATAGTTCATCACCAACCTGTGTTAATGTATTGCCGGTAGTTACGTCATAATTACACTAACATTTAATAAGCACATCAGTGATGACTAAATAAATAATGTGCCATTGTGCCATGGGAAGTTATCCAATTTCACTTAATTTGTCCTAAAATTATTACTCACAATTAAATGTATATTTCTTCATCTCTAGATGCCGGCGATGTGGGCTGGTAGGCAAAATAATTTAATTCTCTTCCGTCAGATGGGAGAAGGTATAATAACCCTGTATGTATCCATCTTTTGCCATTCATACGACAGAATTCACGACTTTCCCGCGAGAATAGCGGGTTTGGCACATTAATCAGTTCCCATTTCACTAGTAAGATGCAGTAAATGGCAAATGGTATATAATTCAATTTATTGATGTTAATGCTGTACTTCGCAAACACGGTGGCCTTCCACGTAGCATTCCATGTTGACCCAGTTGAAGGGGGGCTCAAATAGCAGAGCGGCTACGTGGATCAGCCCAGAGTGGGCGATGGATTGGATTTAAGCAGCACACGGCACCGCTCTAAAACAAGTATCAAACAATCAAGAACCCGTGTGATGAAGGACACGGCAGGAAAAGGTAAGAAAATGTAGCACGACGTGTCACTACGCAACGTTAGCGCGTTAATCAACTTATTAGCTCTTGTCTGGCTACTCGTGCTTGGGAGCTAAAACACGCGAGCGTTTAGCATTGCTTTGCATACTTACCCAGATAATTCTCTCGGTGTTTGTCCACTTTAACGTCATCCCAGTTGAACTGGTCCTGGCCTCCTCGAACCCCTCCGGCTCTCGAAGAACCGAACATGTTCGGCTTTTTTTAAATGAAAAGCGAAGAAATATAACTAGTTAGCTTTGGCCACACAGTAGCGGCCTCTGTCGTTCCAACATCCGGGGAATTCCATAACTACCCCTCTTGGATATGCTGTACGACTTTCTCCCTAGTGGGATATGAATAGACTTCATAGACAGTTAAACATGCTGTATCTATGAACATTTATATAAATTGACCCAAAGTGGTATCACTATATGATTGGAAAAAACAATTGACGTTACACGATCGCTCAATATTTTTCTCAATACATATCAGGGCCTTAAATCAAAATTAATTAAAAACGTTTAAGCACCTTCGACCTTTTGGATTACAAAAAAGAAAATCCGCCAATGTTTTGTTGCTTTCGTGGCCTGTATATGTGCGTATCCTGTCACTCACGCACTCAGCTTGTTTACTCACTCGGTCGCGTAGTGATGACGTAACATGCACGAAACAAACGCAAAATGTATCTCCGAGCGAAGGAGCCCAGCCTGAGCCCGAGGACGAGCACAATCCCTCAGGGGCGTCCTCGGAAAGTGACGTCCAAGTAACCGCAAATGTATATGAGATATTTCGCCAGGCTTTACTCAGGTAGGAAGAACAAACATGTTTATTTGTTCCCTGTCTCTCGGCTACAGTATCAGCAGTGTGGCAACGGCTGCCATAGAGATGCCGCGTTTTTTTCTTTTGTGTGTGCCTGTCAAGACGCGTTGTTTCACATTGCAATATTTTATTCAGAAGTCACATGTGGTGCATTGGGTTATTACTTATTTCGATGAGTACAATGCTGTTCTCAGATCATACTTTGTACGCTTATTAAACTGTAGAAAATGAGTCGCTACAATCTAGGAAAACTGGAATTGGATCCGGGTGGCAGTTTTACATGCTTAGCAAACAAACATGCATTTTTATTGAGCTGTGTGACATGATTGTAAGGATGCATTTCCACATTTTACTTGCATTATAGCCAGGAATGGCAGGGAAATTAGCATTACTTCGTGTATACAATGCAACATATATGGCTGCATTTACAGTAGACAGTAAAGTGACTGTTCTTGGCCACCCGTTTCCAATAAATCTCACATGATTTGCTTCCAATGAGAGTCAGCTGGAGTTGATGAAGTCAAATATCTAATTTGCTGTCATGCTGCACAACATATAAGTGCTCGGTGTTGAATTGCGGGTCTGTCAGAGGCTGTGGTGTAGTAATGAAGAAATAAATGACTGCCACCTGAGTATCACATTGCCACTTTAATTCAAATTTTACAGATTTATAACCGTGCACTTTGGGGCACTTATTCAAATTAGGAATTCTAATTCTAGAACGTTATTGTAGTTAAGTAAAATGGATTTACACTTCACGTCCAAAAAGAAAAATTGCAGTCCTAAATCTGGTATTTACTGGAGCACACCTAAAATGCCACATTATGGTCCAACTGTGTCAATCCCAGACGACAAGGGGGGAAAAAAAATCAATTGATGTGTGGGTTTAGGACTATTTAAAAACCCCTTTGGCTGTATGAAGTTGTTACTAAATATACACAAGGATCATCCACGGGGCAAGGAAAAAAGGAAGTCCCTGGCCCTTTAAGAGAAGAGACAATGGAGAAGGACTCTTGTCATTTGCACCTGCAAACACAACCAGGTCACAACGGGATCGCGTGGAGACGAGAAGGCTATTAAATGTCCTTTTTTTTCTGAACTGCTATGCCTTTAGGAATTTTTTGCATGTCAGCTATCATGCGGATAATCATCTCTAATCTGAGCCCCATCTGACATTTGCGACCAGGGTGGCATTCTGCAACCTTTTTATTGCACGTGGTGGTTTAAAACCTCTGCGGTAATGTAGCTCTCACTTCCTGATTGCTCTGGTTACATTTTATTTTTTCACCAACGAATTAAGGTCAAAGTGCATCACTTAGGCTGGTATGCCAATACCTGTATAGCCCTACCCTATCTACTCCTCAAGGGTGCTATCTTGATTGCCTGTCTTGTAAAAGCCTCGTTAGTCACCCTGGAAAGCTGCAGTGTTGTTTTTAGTCAAACTCGTGAGTCAGCCTCTAAAATTGCAGTGTGTCACCCGTTAGCCAAGCCCTCTTACTCTCTCTGTCCTGTCTTTTTTTAGCTATGGCTGGACCGAGGCCCGTGGTGCTGAGTGGCCCATCCGGGGCGGGTAAAAGCACTCTGCTCAAGAAGCTCATGAAAGAATACAATGGTGTCTTTGGCTTCAGCGTCTCGCGTGAGTTTTTGTGTTTGCTTGTTTGCTTTTAATTTACAACGAAAGAATTAACGGAACCATAAACTGTGATGCCCTATGTCAGCCAACGGAGGGGCATATGAACCTAAAAGTATATTAAAATAATGTAAAACACTTATAAGTAATTGTATTTGTTTATTTTTCACAATTGAATCCTGAGTTTTGACTTTTAATGTCTGCACGATTTATGTTTTTTTTTTAATTCAATTTAGCTTTGCCAAACAGAAATACTAAATTGAAACTGAAATTTATATTTTCCTGCTATAAACAAACAGTGTAAAAGTTGATGAAATAAACAAAAAAAAGAGAGAGAAAAAAAAAGAAAACCAGTTATCATGCGTTATATTGTCATATATTTGTCATTTAATTCAGGTCACTGGGCTTAACCTGCAAAAAAAAATTTGATCCTCAAATTTAGAAAGTTGCTCCTCAAATTAAGTCATTGATTCGCAAAACTGCTCTGTAAAAAAAAATGAGCCTTGTAGTGCATTTGTCATTTGCCTTTTTTTTTTGTTTGTTTTAAAGCTTCAAATAAGCCTGCTTTGAGGGGTGGTCGTGTCTCATTCAAATGAAACACAGATCATGCTGCCCCCCCCACCCCCTACTAAAATCAATTTAATACGGCTTTCGTTGTTGTGACGACAGTGGGCAGAGCCAGGGAGGAGTGATGAGGCTAGTTGTGCAGTCGTAGAAGTGGCAGCCCTGAGTGTGAAAAAAATTAGCAATCCCCCTTCAAGAGAGTCAAAGCAGTGACTGTATTTTCACTTGTGGAGGCAGCACTTCATCACCCAGTTGCTGAATTATACTTAAATATAAATCAGCATGCGGTAAGTTTAGTCTTTGTTGACGGTGCTGATCCATAATCAGAACACATTTGGACTTCCTCCCTCAGATACAACAAGAAACCCACGACCTGGAGAAGAGAATGGCAAAGGTACATTCGATTTTCACCTCTTTGGGATACTTGACATCATCATTATCATCATCTTCGTCATCATCACGTGACCTCTTTTGCTGTTCTTCCAGATTATCATTACGTCACACGGGAAGCCATGCAGGCCGCCATCGCTAAAGGCGAATTCATTGAGAGCGCAGAGTTTTCCGGGAACATGTACGGGACGAGCAGAGCCGCCGTGGAGGCCGTCAAGGCACGCAACCTCATCTGCATTCTCGACATCGACATGCAAGGGGTGAAGAATATCAAGAAGACCGACCTCAATCCCATATACATCTCCATCCAGCCTCCGTCTTTGGATGTGCTGGTGAGAAAAAGTCTAGTATATGCAGGGATTGCTCAGTTTACTCAACTGTATTCATTGAGCATTTTAAAACAAGCACCGCGGTATACAAAGTGCTGTACATGGAGCAAAAATAATTCAAACAACAACAATCAAGAAATTAACAACAAAGACAGTAGAAAGCACAAAAACAGTAAAACTAAAAATCAAGTCTCATACACGAGTCAAAAGCCAAAGAATAAAAATGAGTTTTAAGATGAGTTTTAAAGATGGGCAGCGAGGGGGCTTGCCTAACATTCAACGAGGGGTCATTCTAAAAAGAGGTACCAGCAGTGGAAAAGGCTCGATCCCATCTGAGCCTCCACTTAGTTCTTGGTGCCTCTAATAATGTCTGGTCCGCACACCTGAGCCACCGGGCAGGTCCGTCGGGGCAGGGGAGCTCAGAGAGGTAAGGTGTAGCGAGGCCATTTAACGATTTGAAAGCAAATAATAGGATCTTAAAAAGAACTCTAAAATGTATTGGGAGCCTGTGAAGGGACGCCAGAGTAGGAGTTATGTGCTCCCTCTTGCGAGTACCAATCAAGAGGCGAGCAGCAGCATTCTGGACCAACTGGAGACGTTTAATGGAGGATTGGCTGACTCCAAAGTAAAGTGCATTACAGTCATCCTGCCGAGATGTGATGAAGTCATGAATTACTGTTTCAAAGTGCTCTGGAGAAAGGAGAGGCTTGGCTTTAGCCAGCGGCCGAATATGAAAGAAGCTGGAAAAGCCACCATTATATTAGGCAAAAAAAGAATCCGACATTGAGAAAATCCTCTTCGTTAGTCGTTGGCACTGCACTGCAGCAGTTTGATACATTGGCAAGTCATCATTAGCATTGAACACAATTTTCTTTTTTGTCAGTTTCAAATCAAATTTTAAATACTAGCGGTATCGGGACTTGGTATCGGAGTCATCAAATAGAGAATACTCATTCTGGTATCATTCTGAAATGAAGCGGTATCGAACATCCCTACTCATAATATTTTGCAATCAAGCTGTCCTTGTCATGCTTTCAGGAAGCCCGTCTGAGAGCAAGAAAAACGGAGTCAGAAGAGAGCCTGCAGAGGCGCATTAGGCAAAAAAAAATCAGACATTGAGAAAATCGTCTTCGTTAGTCGTTGGCACTACACTGCATCAACTGATACATTGGCAAATCATCATTAGCATTGACCACAATTTTCTTTTTTGTCAGTTTCAAATGAAATTTTAAATACTAGCGGTATCGGGACTTGGTATCGGAGTCATCAAATAGAGAATACTCATTCTGGTATCATTCTGAAATGAAGCGGTATCGAACATCCCTACTCATAATATTTTGCAATCAAGCTGTCCTTGTCATGCTTTCAGGAAGCCCGTCTGAGAGCAAGAAAAACGGAGTCAGAAGAGAGCCTGCAGAGGCGCTTGGATGCCGCCAAGGTGGACATGGAGTTGAGTAAGTTCTTTTTTTTCCTCCACAAAAATAGACTGCTCCACCCCCAAAATAATAAATAAATAAAGGGGACACATAAACAACACAATGTAACTCTTAAGTGTTCCCATTTTTTTTTTTAGCAGTTTATATTCACTCCGCTCTTATGTGTCATATATTCGAGATGACCGACACAGCACTCTATGAATGACAAATGTGAGTCTCCTTCCCCCTAACCAGATGTCTGTCGTAGTCATTGTCATCAAGAATAATTATTGAACAAATAAATGACCTAAACCATTCTTTCATTATTGCTATTTGTGCACCCTGCCGAAGATCACAAACAGCAGAACCCAAATATGACGTGAGCGTATTTGTACTCCCGCGCAGGTAAAGAACCCGACATGTTTGACGTCATGATCGTGAATGACAACTTGGAAGACGCTTATGGGCATTTAAAAGATGCTCTTCTTGAGGTGAGCTGAAAATAGATTGATGTTGCCAGCCATGGCGTCCCACTCAACACTGTTTCCTTATGTCATGTCATGAACGCGCAAGCTAACTCATGAACGTAGCGGTATGATTTTCCGTTGCCAAGCAAGTGTAAGAATACTTAAAATTATCATTAGTATCACTTTCAAACAGGTTGTGCTGGTGGTTCATTACTACTTTAATGTCCATTTATAGAGTTACTGAGAAGACATCATTTTTCAGTTTATTGATTAGTGAGCTAGCATTGAAGATCATGATGGAATTATCACATTATTAGATCGCTAGAGGAATGTGACACACTAGAAACAAATTATTAAAAAATATATTTAGACATTTCTATGCCTAACTTTGTGTTTACAATATAAACCAAACAAGTTCGCACAATCACAATTTTGTCTGGTAGCATTAGCAAGTTGTGATGCTGTTTTTTTTTTTTTTTTTTTTTAAATAGCAGGTTTTAAGGTGTCTCTTGTATGCCATATTTAGTTACATTTTAACAGCTGCAATTATGTTTTATTATTCATCTTGAGCGCTACATTTAATTCATCTTTAACTTTTGCTTGTATGCTACTTTTGATCAATCATTGCTTGGATGCTACATTCCACATTAAATAGTTGTGCAACTGTTTTTATTTCACAGCTCCATTCAATTATCTCCAGTAGATATGTTTTCATTTCGATTGAGTGATCCATTTAAATCATTTCTAACTAATGGAATGTAGTTTTTTAAAATCTTTTATGTTCGAGATAAAACTGCTGTCTTCAATCTTTAAATGACAAGAAGTGCACCGAACTCAATGAAAACGATTGGATTATTGTGTCATTTTTTTTTTTCCTTCTTCCCTCAGGAAATCAACATGGTCAAGAAAATCAACATGTCTTCATAGGAGATGAGGCAAAACAAAACACAGTTCACTTCTTTACAAAGACCTCATTGTGAACATTCCATCCAAAAAAAGGTGGTCTGGAAAAGCTCCCTGAGCATTTTGTCCAAATATGTAGGTTTACATGTGTGTTTAGACAGTTTTTATTACTAAAGTGGAACTTTTTTTTTTTTTTTTTTAATGACAAGGAGTTTTCCTCTTTTTTAAAAAAAATCCTTATTTACATGTGTATTCTAGAAACTTTATGTGTTATATTCTGACCTTGATAGGCCAGGTGACTGAAACTGTCTTTAGTCAGCAACAGTTTTTCTCCACCCCGGACGTAACTGGACGTAACTGAACTCATTCCGACACGTTGACAAACTGGTCTGTCAAGCTTACTTATTTGGCTGTTTGTCCTCGTGCCATTGTGCATTGTCCTCATGCCATGTGTGATTAATCAGTGTGAAATCTTTTGCTGGTAAAAAAAAAACACATCCATTTCATTGAATTTCCGAGAGTGTGCAAGTCAACTGAAAGCATATATTTATTCCATTTCATGCTATTTTGCTTTGTACTATGATTTAAAAAAAAAAAAAAAAAAAAAACGTATTAGGATTAAGTCCCATGTCATAGGCTAGTCAGTATATATGGCCTAGTGATCATGTCAGTTTTTTTTTTTTTTTTTTTTTTTTTTTTAAAAGGGGTTGGGGGGGGGGTCAATTATGTTTATTTAACCTGCATTTAAATTGATTTCTGAAGTGGACTGTTGAGCATTCTAACAAAATGAAATATCATGCTTTTTCTTTGAGTCTCTTGGAATCATTGATTTATGTGTATCTGGGTCAAAATGTGGATTTGTAGCCGCCCCCCCCCCCCCAAAAAGAAGCATCACTCAGTCAAGTCTTCAGTAAAATTATTAAAAATTACCCACCGAACCCAATTTTCACAGATTTGGGCGGACATGCCCATGACAGCAGGACATACAAAAAAAATAACGTCTCAAGGACCCCTGTATGAAATTGAACAGACAGTCTGCCATTTTTGGTTTGAAACAGACATTTCCAGGGCTCATACTTTTTATTGGAACACTTATTCATCATTCGCATAACTTAAGATCATCTTTGTTACTTTGAGATGAACATGGTCAGACTCCAGACCTGAATTCATTTGGGAGCCTCTTTATGTGGTTTGGTGAAGACTGCTGTTTTGGCTATCAACTCATTTCTAATGGCCTTCAACAGTTTAAACTATTATTGGTGAACATTCATGTGGAATAACAACAGGAACAATTTGTATGTCTTTTACAAACATGGAAACAATTTTATTTTATTTTTTTGTAATATTCAGATTTTAACACATTTGAAAGCAAACATGTTTTCCATTCAAAAACAACACATTTCAAATACAAGCGATTACAATCTTTTGAGAGCGTTATGAATGACACAGAACCCAAATCCTTACTCAAGCAGGACTTTAATCCCTTTATTAAATTGAAATACTCAGTGCTTTGGAAAAGCAGCATGCAGTCAATTATTGAAATGAACTTAAAAGGAGCCCATGAGCTCACGTTATTGCACCACATGAACAGACTCGGAGACAATTCAATGCACTATAAATGTATCAACACGATAAATGATTAACGCAAATGACTGAATTAGGTTGTATATCTAATCGTCGTCTCCCTCTACATGTTGACCTTTAACAATCAAATTTTGGAAGTAGTTTCTATTTAAATCAACACATGAAATCTTATGAAATACTAATAAAAGGTAGCAAATTCATACCTAAATGCTATCATTTATGGTAACTGTATAACGCTTCCCTCAATTACAATTTTGTGTTTCTGAGTAAACGTTTTATTTTGAAGTCATTGACAGTGTCGTGCTTCACTCACTGCGGGGTTCCTTTCCCACTCAGTGACGTGAATGTAGACTACACTGGTTGTCTGTGTTCTTTTGGGTGACAAGTGACCAGTCCAGCGTGTCCGCCTTTTGCTAATATCAGCAGTTGTTGATTTAACGGTCTGAAAATCTCCTCTATTTTACCAATGTTGTATTATGTTGCACAAGAGGAGGTCACATGCAATACCATGGATGTAGTGTGCTCTCTAATGCCATAGTTGCTTCAAGAAAACATCAGCTCATTACTTACAAGTATTTGTAATGGTAACTGATTGTCATTCCACTCGATCTTTTTGTTTCTTTCGGTGTCTGTGACAAGAAACAATCAGGTTTCTGGTCCACAGTTTGGTTTGAGTGAATCGAAGGCGACGATCACTCAGTTTTGACTGTCGTGATCGCGTGTTACCGTCCAACCATTATTTTGTCATAAGGAATGGTTTGTTAACAGCTGAAAATATTCTGAAAGTTAGGAGAGGATTCAAACCGATGGTGTTTAAGACTAAGGAGGATTGCGGCGAACAGAATTCAAAGCTACTGGTTTTGGGGTTGTTGTTTGTCGCTGATTTGAAGTGTGACAGGGTTTCCCACGGATGTATAGCCGGACATCTGCGTTGATAATTTGGTTTTAAAGCTCCGCTGCCCTCCTCCCACCCTCTGCACCTCGGAGCAGTACGAAGGCTTCACCTCCAGCTTGGCGTGGCTCACTTGAATGGGGACACGCCTTTCCGACTGGGTACTGCTTCCTTGTGGCGCATTAGATGAGAAAACATTGCCGGCTAGATGTTCTCTGCAGCGAGAGAAAAATCCGCTTCTATGCCTCGGAGCCGCCACGGGACGTCCCACGTTGAGGAGCACCGGATGTCCCACGGCGGTGCCGCCAACCTCCCTCTGGAGCACGGAGATCTCACAGGGCTTCTCGACAGGACCGTAGCTGGTCGAACCGTCAGATCCTCCTTCCTGTGGGACGTAATCCTCCAAGTCTTCCAGTGCTAGAACATGACTTCCACGTGTTAGTGTCTTTGCTTCCTGCTTTCCATAAAGGTCTTCATCATTATCATCATCGGGTTCCAAGATGACGATTTGCAGATCCTCCGGGTCTTCACGAGCCTCCCCAGCCGTGGTAAGAACAGACGAGATCTCAAAGGGATCTCCTGAACCAGACGGAGTCGCCTCATCCTCCCAGGCGCTGCCTCCCAGCTCCACCAGATTGTTGTTGGAATTGTTTGCATTCGGGTTCTCTGCGGGTGATCTTTTGGGTCTGGAAGGAGCGGCGGAGCGGTCCAAGATGGCCGGCGACACACCCCTCCTCCTGGATGGCCTGGGAGATTTATTGACCTTGTACTCGATCACCTCCTCCACCTCAACCCAATTGGGCTTGCTCTCAGCGACAATAGAACTGGCACCCTCCGCACCCTCAGCTTCTGTGACATAGTAGGTTGGCACCGCGCTTTTCCTGGGAGCGGCGGCCATCCGCCTGGTCCTGCTGGTGGAGGTCTCTGAGGCGGTCATCTCCAAGCGGTGGGCTCCAGTGCCAGTCATGCCAGGGGACTTGTGCCTCCTCATTCTTGGATTCTTCACCACTGTGGTGATCGTCTCCTCACTGCCAATAAACCACCACCGCAGACATTATTATCCAAGAGGACTCTGCACTGGTTCGCGTGCAATTTTCACACAGACTGTCCAAGCAAGGGAGGGATGGTGTAAGTCACAGGTGTCAAAGTCAAGGCCCGGGGGCCAGATCTGGCCCGCCACATCATTTTATGAAGCAATTCAAGCATGTCAACTTCCATGATGCTTGCTAAAGTCTGAACCAAAATGTCAAATTGTCGTTAATGTAATAAATACAATGTTTGAACAATCCATTATTCTTGACTTCTGATGTCAAAACTAGTTATCCATCTATTTGTTGTTCATTGTGTATGTAATATGTGGAGGTGGTTAAACATTTCTATAGTTTCACAAAATTCACTGTCATAACGGCCCTCCAAGGGAAACCGTAACTACAATGTGGCCCGTGACAAAAATGGTGGAAGCGAAATGGGGACTGACGGTTCTCCAAAATGCCGCCATGAAAGAAGCATGCCGCAGGAGGGCAGTCAATCATTTATTTCGTGTCATGAGTTGTTGAGTTGGAGGTTAAATTTGCATCCTCGCAAGAACAGCCAATCCTTTTCGTCAGCCGTGTGGGAAGAACTGTTCGCACTCATGCTTTGCATTCCACAAATTTGAATCGCGGTCACAATAAAGTCCACACAGCATGCTTCATGAAGACAAGGTCGCACAAATTTTGGAAACAAATCGAGCTTCCATCATGTCGTTGTGTAAGAATCAAAGCATTCATTCACTTATTGTGTTTTAATAATATTAATATTATTATTAATAATAATATTTACCTGTAAAGTTAACAATTGCAAGGTTCTGTAATTGCAACTGCCTGACCCGTGAACATTCACATTTTCCATTACTTCCCATGGAAAAAATATTTCGACTGTTGCACTATACCTCTATGTAGGTCTAAGTATAAAGGTGATGACAAGGCAAAAAAACACCAACAACAAAAGAACCTAGACCATGCATGAATGGCACTTACATGATGATGGTTTTCTTTGGTATTTTTGTTTCCTGCTCGGTAACTAGACAGAGAGCAAAGTGAATACATTAAGTAGATGGAATGCGGCAAAAAATGTGAGCTCCTCGGAAGTACTCCATCTCTTCTTACCTTCAAGAACAATGGCCTGCTCACCACTGCTAGCGGCCGATAGAGGAACTAAGTCAGCGGCACACCTGGCACTGCCCAGACGGTTGGACAACTGGCGACAGTGAGAAATTCTCAGTTCGTCATGTCCAATTTCTTTCTTTATTTCGAGATGGAATTGAGAGTGCTTCTCACAGGATGCATTCATGCGGACCAACCTCACACTCGTAGTGTCCCAGGTCTCGATCCGTCACATTTTTGATCACCAAGACCAAAACTCCGCTGCGGAGCTCACTGTAGGTCTCATACTTTTCTTGGTCGCTCAGCAGGCGGCCGTCCTTGAACCATCTTGATCGCGCATTCACACAGAGCCAGAAATTATTGACGTGGGGACATTTCAGACAAATGATACAAACTGGTACTCTGCAACCCCTGAACATTGCTACCTGATTTTGGGACTGGGAGCACTCTGGATGACGCAGGTGAACTGAGCGTCTTCACCGGAGACACAAATCGCATTCCTCAATTTGTTCACAAACCGCGGAGGCACTGAAGACACAAACGAATGACCTGCTAAAAGCAGCAAAAAAAAGCAGCCGAGGGTCTTTCTGTGTGTGAGCTGCTCACCCTGTACGGTGATCTTGCCCAGCGTGCTGGCGTTGCCGGCTGAGCTCGTGGCAAAGCACATGTACTGGCCCGAATCCTCGGCTGTCATGTTATCCAGTATGAGTGTGCAGGAGCCGTCGGGGTCCTCGATAATTATGTGATGAGGGTCTGCCTCAACTATGCGTCCATCTACGGCCAGCAAGTCAGCAGAAGCATTGGTGAAACACACTCGATTTATGTCTGCGTAGATTCTTAATCATCTGGGATATGGCCACATCTAAAATTTAAAGAACTGAAGAAGCCTTTCGGAATCAAGGTGAATTGTTCTTGTTCATTCTTCGATGAACAAGAATAGTCCAGATTTCTTACCTTTGCTGACTCGCTACTTAAGGCCACACTGTGGATGAGGAAGGTATGTCTTACCCTTGTACCAGGTGATGGCAGGTTTGGGAACTCCCGTGGCCTTGCACGCCAGTTTAACAGTCTGCCCAAGCTCGGCTGTGCAGTTTGCCAGTATTTCGACAAAGTCAGGAGGACCTTCCGAAAAACAGTGAAAATTATTAATGGGGACATATTTTTGAAAATTTTGTTGTTTATCGGGTTTCCCACTCTTTTTTGAAAATATTTCCCAGGACTTTTTCAGCTGCTACAGTATGAGTTACATTATCACAAAAATTCCAACCCCAAGCTTTGGATGAATGTTATTTTCTAAAATGGTACCTTATATTTTGGACATACAGTGATCCCTCGCTACTTCGCGGTTCGTTTACCGCGGGTTCAGTGCATCGCGGATTTTTTCAAACATTAAAAAAAAAAAAAATTATAATTGTTTTATTTAATTTTTTTTAATATACATGGAGTACAGTACTGTATACATTGCTCTATGTGACTCGCTGTTGTTTTGCAGCTTCTCGCGGACCGTTTGCGGACTTAATTTTTTTTTTTTTTACCTGTTTATGTTAATTGGACGCTACTTTGCGGATTTTCGTTTATCGCGGGGGGTTTTGGTCACCATTAACCGCGATAAACGAGGGATTACTGTATATCTGAGCAGGTGCTGCTGTTTTGGTTAACAGCAGAGTTCAAATGGGCTCAGCGGTTAACTCTTTAACTCATTCACTCCCAAAGACGTTTTTAAACGTCTTTTCAGACTTGGTCTCGAATTGGCTGGTACTGAATGAGTTTTAATGTCCATAATAATTACAGTGACACCCGATTTTGTCCTCATGAGAAAAAAAGGAAGCGTCTATTTCAGAGAAGAGGATTATTATTCGTCTTGAGTGGATAGTCCAACTCAACACGCAACTCATAACCAAGTCGTGAGAGTTTGACAATGAAATGAAGACGAAAGTTTGGTCGACTTACTCCAGGCGGGCATGCTGTATCTCTGCTGAAGTTCTCGGAAGTCTCTCAGCCACGAGTTTTTCATGGTCACGGTTCGGGCCTGCAAAGTGTACTTCCTCACCGAATCTTCGCGTTCGTGCCAGATCTCAAAAGCGCGGTCGTCACCCTCCACCGTGTCATTCACGTCAATGTTGTTCAGCTGCGGCAGGGTGCAAATGAAAAATACGCTACAGCTCGTGACAGATTATCCGGAGGGGGTGTCGAGTCTCACCTTCATCATGTTCTTAAAGACGTATGTTTGCGAATCGGTGTTGCTGTCTCTCTTGGATTTGCAGATGATGCAGTAGTTCTTAAAGAGGAAGACGTGGCGGTGGTGACCTCGAGAGGACGTCCTTATTCCAGGAGCCCCCTCCCAAACTTGGAAGGGTCCCTAGTAGTGAGACAAAATAAGTGGAGGTCTGTATTCCTCATACTGTTATTTTCATGCAAGAGTGTTTTTTGTCAAAAAACAGCCTTGCCTTATAGGGGAAAAAAAGGAGCCGATTACGGATAAAAACAAATGCAAGTTGACCAAAATCATGACGAATTGGAGTGACACAGAGAATATCTGGGGCTAGAGCTCACAGTAAAAAAAAAAACAAAAAACAAAAACAAAACATGTTTGGGAGAATTTGCGAATTCTGAACAGCACATTTGTGGGCACTACTGTGTATGTCGACACAAAATTTTTTTAATGTTATACGATTTAAAGGAAATGAAGTCAAATTTAACACTCACCTGTCTAAGAGGCTCCCCTAACGCTTCAAGGGTGGCGGGGTAGTTCTCAATCAAGGAGACGTGGTGGGTATTCTCAGAGCGTTGCGGCAGTGCCGACACCATGGCGTACGCTTCTTCCAGCAGGCAGCAGTTCTGGCCATTTCTGGCCTTGTTTCGAATGAGCTCCTGGTGACGTTGAGCGGGTGCGTTACAACCGAGAAAATTCAGGATCTCAAAAGAAACACACAACTATTGGATGTCACCTTGAGGAAGACCTTGTACTTCTGAATCCTGTCCAGAGGTTGTAGCAGGTAGGCGTTGATGCTGCGTATAGGCGGGTCAGCTGGGTCTGCATTGGCTTGCTCCTTTTCGGTGTACTCCTGTTATAACATAATGGGAAGGGTTGTACAAAACCAGCACCATCTGGAGTCACTCCCCGATTATGCCTGTTTCTGCAGGAACAGCAGTCATGATCCGGGGTCACTGTCTCATTGAACCCATAAACGAAAGAAAAAGAACAATACTGAATTTTCTGCACCTTAAAGCATTCAATTTTCTCAAAAGGCGACAGTGTGCCCTATAATCCGATGCGCCTAATATAAAGAGACTGTAACTCTCTTTGTATTTCCCATTGAGTTGTTCCCCTGTTAATTTTCCGATGCCATCTAGTGGTGATTATTAGCAGGAACCAATTGGAACCTAAAAGGGTTCCTGCCCAACACTAATTAACATATGCATTCGCCAACACAAACAGAGAACTAATTTGTGAGTTCTGCGCAGCCATTATTAAACGAAGTCAATACCAAAAGAATAGTTAACTACTGACTAAATGAGGGAAGGAGACAACCAAGACTTCCAAGGATATTTAGCCCCTTGTGGATGTGAGCCCAGGAGGTTTGCGTGCCTTTTTTTTGTTGAATCACTTGTCTTCATAACTTTTGTCTTTCATTTATTGTTTTGTGATGCCATTTGTATTTATATTTTTCATGTCCATGTTTTTGACCAGTTCTCATTGTATTGTATTGTATTGTATTGTTTTTGAGGAATTTTAGCCTAAATATGAGTACTATTGATACGAGTCTCTTTCCTGAACATCTGTTTAAACACTTAAAACAAAGAATGTAGTGTTAGGTTTATATCTTCTTCCCCCTTGAGTGATTAACAGCCCCGAAGTGTCTTCTTTCGCACCCCCATCTCGGCAAAGTCCCTGATGGCTGTCACGTTTCCCTGAGGAGGAACTTTTATCTCGAGATTTATGCACAGCAGGAAAAGTCTGGACTTTGTCATCATGCCAAGATCGAACTGCATTGACCTTTCTTTGTTTCTAATTTTTACATAAGGGGAAGGACTGCCCGTCCCTCATTAACATATTACCCCTATATAAACATGAGACTGTATTTTTCCTTTGCTTCCTGACGCTTCTCAGAAGCCCAAATCGATTCGTATTGTGTTGTGATGAACTGCAGAAAAGACGACGTGGTGTTGGGTCTTTCTTCCACCTTATAGCGAAATAAAAAAACCTGTGTCCAAGGAAGTGGACAGCTCCCCTCCACTACAATTGTATTCCTTTAGCGTTACTCTATCTAGTGGCTGCATAGCGCAACTGCATCCATTATTGGAGATTGTTGCTTCTATTCTCTGTGCCTTATAATGCAGTGCACAGTAGTTATGAAAACAGTTTTAAAATAGGCCATTCGTTGAAGGTGCGCTTTATACTCCGAAGTGCCTCAGCAATAAGGAACCTGAGTAAACTTGAGCTGGGGTATGTTTAAATTTCCAACAGTGACAGAAAATATATATTTTTTTAAATCATAATTTGTGTTGTTTATACCTCAACATGAACTGAACTTGTCAATATGTGAAACGAACAATTTTGTCTTTATCTGTAAGTGCACCTCTTACAGTTCACTTGAGGTGGAAAGTGGATAGAACGCAATAATAACATTTGATCGGCAGAATAACAAGAGGGTTGAAGAACAACGTGTAAACGAGCAGTGATACCTTGAAGAAGCGGTGGACCGTTTTGTCACTGATGGCACTTTCAGCCTGGCTCTGACCTACAAGATACTGGAGGTACTTCTCAAAGCCTTCCTTATTCTTCAGGAAGCACATGGCGACATCATCATCCGTCTCACAATCGCTCAGTTTTGGCAGGAACGCCCTGCAATACACGTACGGCGAGGTCACTGCCACCAAGCTAGGCCCAAAGACGAACTGGTGTCATGGCGAGGCGGCGAGCGTACCTGGCATGGAAGTCCTTCAAGTCGTTGATGTTCCTAAAGATGACTTCCCTCTGGCCGCTGACATCACTCGGTGCATCAGGAGAGTCGGCGTGCCTCAGGTGATGACCCGTGAAGAAGTCTATCTCTTTGACGAACTCTGATTCACCGTTTATGATGTCATGAATCAACTGGCTACAGAAGAAGACCAAAGATGCTGCTTAAGAGGCGGATAGTATTTGTAATGACTTAAAGATTTGTTTTACTTACAATAACTTCTTCTTGTATTCTCCCTCAGACACCTCCTCTACGCTTGTCTCAGGAAGGTCACCCGAATCAGCAGATAGCTGGAGGTACACGTTTATCATCAGTGTAACTGAAATCTTGTTCAATTTTTACCTTACTCCTCTTTATGCCACACCCCTTTGCGCATGGCAACCAAACAGGTCTGTGATATGATGCTACGCAGGCATACTTTGAACTTTTTGTCCAGATAGGCAGGCGACACCCAGCCTTGGCGGGATGCCGTCGTCTTGGTGGGTTTGGTCCGCACGAGCCATTTGAGCGGGTGGGCCGAATCCAACACCTCCACATACTGTCCCTCCTTCAGGGAGACGGATTCTTTGCTGGCCACGATGGGGTCGTAGTTGGCCGTCGCCACGTAGATGTCGAACATCTGCGTGCAAAGGGTTCCCCCATCACTTTTCATGACACGAAAGGCGTTTCTCATATGGCAGAGTCTCACCTCTCCCCTGGCATCTCCTTCATCGGACTCAGACGAGGAGTCAGCCACGAGGGAGGGGGGACGGGAGCGACCGTGGTGAGGAGAAGCCGAAGGGGTCTTGGTGTCGTCGTCACTGTCTGCACCTGGTACGCGCAATGAGCCTGACACAGCAGGGAGGGAAGGAAGCGGGAGTCAATTGTGTTGTTGGGTATTAGTGGAAGTGTATTAGTAGCACAGTTTAGTCTCTCGTGACAGCGGGTCAAGCACCACATGACCCTCCTGGCATTTTATTCCATGCCAATTCACTTGTGACAAACATGAACAGATGAATGACTACTATAATATGTATATGTATCTATGAAGACGTAAATTACAGTCGTTGAAGGCCTTTAAACCATTCACTCCCAAAGACGTATTTCGATGTCTTTTCAGACGCCACACATTTAATCCCAGCTCCTCATTTTATATTGACTGTACTTGAAAAGGGTCTAAAAATGGCCCTTTCAGACACTTTTCAAGTACAGTCAATATAAAATGAGGAGCTGGGATTAAATGTGTGTCATCTGAAAAGACATCGAAATACGTCTTTGGGAGTGAATGAGTTAATGAGCAAGGAATCATATTTGGCCATACAAATCAACACGTGGGCCAAGTCACTTTGAGGCAGTCGAAGCATGTGATTTGAACCAGCCAATCAATAAATTAAAACTTAAAAATACATATTTAAAAATAAAAGCTAAATCCAAACTAAAATTGTAATAAATGTAATTAATGTTACAATTTACAAACATAAGCGTTATATTTTTTTCAAAATCCCATTTATTACTAATTTTCATTCCGCAAAGAAGAGCAAGGACAATAATAAACAGTTTGAATGAAAGTCAACTTTTCTAGACAATTTATTTGCGCCGATTCCAAATCAATCCTTGCTTTTTTTCCTCTGACACATTAGGTTTTCGGGCGGCAAGGTGTTCAACTGGTTAACACGTCGGCCACACGGTGCAGATGTACAGGGTTGGATTCCAGCTGCAGCCTTCATGTGCGAAGTTTGCATGTTCTCCATCTGAGTGGGTTTTCTCCGGGTACTCCCGTTTCCTCCCACATTCCAAAAACATGCATGGCAGGTTAATTGTGAGGATAAGATTTGAAAATGGATGCATGGTTGTTTATTAGGTTTTCATAATCATAATATTAATAATAATACTAATAATATCTAAAAAACCCGCTGTGATTGAAAGAAAAAAAAAAAAAGTAAAGACCTTTTTGAAATCAGCCTCAAAATGCATTTCGGGACACAAACACCCACCTCTGCTTGAAATTCGCTGTTGACCAGTGTTATCAATGAACAAATGATAGTCGTCAAAATGTGTCATTTGATACACTAAAATAAACGTGTCATTTAAACAGATACATCACCATGTATAGATCATTATAGAAGATGGATGGATAGATAGACGAACAGACAGACAGATTAGTAGTCAATAGCCATTCATAATACAACAGAGAAAAACTATTGTGGTTGCAGCAAATGCTGTTGTCGCATCTTAACCAGTGTTATCAATGAACAAAGAAGATAGTCGTCAAAATGTGTCATTTGATACACTAAAATAAACGTGTATTAAACAGATACGCCACCATGTATAGATCATTATAGAAGATGGATGGATAGATAGACGAACAGACAGACAGATTAGTAGTCAATAGCCATTCATAATACAACAGAGAAAAACTATTGTGGTTGCAGCAAATGCTGTTGTCGCATCTTAGATTTCATTTGAAATAAATAAATAATTCATCTGTGCGTCATCATCATCATGAACAAAAGTCTTGATTATTAAACAGATACGCCACCATGTATAGATCATTATAGAAGATGGATGGATAGACAGACGAACAGACAGACAGATTAGTAGTCAATAGCCATTCGTAATACAACAGAGAAAACAATTGTGGTTGCAGCAACTGCTGTTGTCGCATCTTAGATTTCATTCGAAATATATAAATAATTCATCTGTGCGTCATCATCATCATGAACAAAAGTCTTGATTTACGCTATGTGACAATGGATGCGTTCGTAATACATACTGGTCGTTTTGGGCCAGGATTTCATCCACTGGAGCACTTCCTGATTCTGTGTGCTGTCTGAATAACAAATTCATGATTGGATGAACATTGGGTGGGTGCTGTTAGTCAAGTGATGGCGTAGTTAACTGGTGAAGAAGTGTTGCTTGAACGAAGCAAGATGGGCTTGGACGTTGTAAAACACATAACACAAGCCATACGTGCGGAAAAACACGAGACAACTCTTGTACTGTTATGCGAGTGTGGGTCGACAATCAAAGCATACGGCCAACAAGCTGAAGAAGACGCAGGCAAGAAAGTGGAATAGTGAAATAGCTGCACAGCGTGTAGATGATGACAATGGCAGTGAAATCAAAATCCATCAAATGTGATATTATTTGGCTCGGTATTTCTTCAATACACTGCAGCGACTATACAGGATGGTCCATGACACACAGTACAAACGCACCTTGCGTAATCTTGGCCGATACCATTTCAGTGATCTGGGAGGTGAGTTTCATGAGGAATTCTTCGGAACCAACTTCTCCAAAGTAGGACATTTTACTCTCTTGAAACAAATTGCAAAACAGTATTAGTTTGAATTTACAATGCACTAATATTATTAAATTATCAAATGGTGTTTCAAAGTTATACTTGCCCTTTCCCCTCTTTGCAGCTTCTTCTGGTGGACTGACAGTAATCCCGAGAACACTGATGTATAAAAATGATACATCACATTTGCATTTGTTATCTTCTAGCTAACGAATTTAAAAATAATAATAATTTAAAAAACATACTCTGAAGCCTTGGTCTCTTTCTTTTGTGGTGGAGCTGAGAAAAACGATGAGAACAAATTATGATTATAATAAACACAAAGGTGGGGGTGAACTGATCACCCAGTGGTAATACACCGGAACTTCCAAAGCAAACAATCATTTTGGTTGGTTCAAGTTATTCCAGTTTCAAGACATTTTTTCCCCATCGTAAATAATGCAAAGTGAATTAGTATGTTCCCATTGTGAACGTCACATGACCAAACAAAGTAAACAGGTGAGCTGTGACGTTCGCAATGCGAGCCCGAAGGCACTTTGACGTCAATTTCAGCTGACAGCAGGAGGCAGTATAGTGTCAAAATGGCAGGCCCCTGAGATGGGATGAAAATGGGTGGATGAATCTGCTTAGTTCTTATTTCATCAACACCATATTAATTAGAATAACTTGTTTTGACCAGTCGGGGCACAAGGAACATATTAGCGCAAAGAAAATTTTTTGACCAGAGTTTGAAAGTTTATTTCCTATCGCCCCCAATTTTGGTTGACATCACAGGCATTCTTGCAGAACAATGTTGGTTGAACCCTAAATTAAGGTATCGCTTTAGGGGTGTTCATCTTTGGAAGTTCCACTAACAACTGTATGTCAAGAGGGGTAAAACAATTTGTTCATGTATGTAAATGCTCAGTGGGTCAATGTTAAAGAAAGGAGATGTATTTTTTTTTCTTACTGTCATCCACCTCAAGGTGGGCAGTACAAATGGACTGTCCCGCCTTATTGGTGGCAATGCAGGTGTAGGCGCCGGTGTACTCGGTTCCAACATCCATTAAGATGAGACTGTGTTGGCGGCCGGAGCTTGCTACTTTGTATCCTTTGGTATCAGGCTTGATCCACAGCACCTCCTCCACCGACTCCTCCTTTAGCCACGAGACCACTGGAGTGGGAGATCCTAAAGCCGTATGTACAGAGTGTGTTTAAGTGCAGGAACGTGGGGAAAAAAAAAGAATCCTTTTCAAGCATGTGGCGTGCAAACCTTCGACTTTGACGGATAATGTGATGCTGGTTCCTTGTTTCACTTTCCTGTTGCAGAATTTTTCAAGGAAACGCGGAGGCACCAGAGACTCCCGGGAGTCTACGAAATACAGGTGATTGGAAAAAAGTAGCGCTCAGTCACATTCAAGTATATGGTATATGGTTAAAAAAAACACACACATAACATGAGGAAACGTGGTGCAGTGATCCCTCGCTATTTCGCGGTTCGTTTATCGCGGCTTCAGTGGATCGCGGATTTTTTCAAACATATTCATAAAATAAATAAATAAATAGATAAATAGATAAATAAATAATTAAAACAAATTTTAAGTCCACAAAAAGTCCGCAAATGGTCCGCCAGAAGCAGCGAAAGTCAGCAAAACAACAGCGAGTCACATAGAGCAACATATGCAGTACTACATGTATATGTTTACTGTATTTTGTTATTCATACACGAACCTAATTATACATGTTTAAATCTATTATATATGTCATTAAGTAATGTTAATTACTACAAAATTTACTTATACATGCATGTATACCATTAAATTTGGCCTTATAAATATTTTTTATACTCATACACATGTACATGTACCTATACGGGGGGGTCGCTGCTTCGCGGATTTTCGTTTATTGTGGGTGGTTTTGGTCCCCATTAACCGTGATCATCGAGGGATTACTATATATGTATTTGGATGCCTTGATAGTGTAAGTTCCATTTTCAATGTTAAGTGCTTATGAAAGAAGATCTAATTACCTTTCGCATCTTGAGGTATAATCTCCCCTGGATCTGAAATAAAACAGTGGTTCTTAAGATCCGCATGCCATCTCACGTCATATTTTTTAGAATCTGGCGTACATACTTAGAACAATGAGCCGGGCAGAAGAGTATGCAGAACCAGCCGCGTTACTGATGTAGGCCGAGTATTCCGCCATATCCTCTTTCTTCACCTCCAGGATCTCGAGACTGTGAAGGTCTTGCTGCGCTAACACCAAAATCTTTTCGGAACCGTGCAGGGGATGGCCGTCTTTGAACCAATACACTCTCGGTTTGGGGAAACCTGGAAACAAACCACCAGATGACCTTTACAAACACAGCCAATTCCATGGCCAATTTTCTCTGTGTACCTTTGACCCTGAGTTGCATCTTCGCCATTGGTGAACCTGGGCTCACGTGAACATCATGAAGTTCCTCCACAACTTGAGGCAACTGATCATCTTCCGTCACGGACTCAAAGGTCTCGGTCTCCCTGCTAGAAGAATGACATCAGTTCCTGATCAATGTATCAGATGTACACTATCAGAAAACGTTATGTTTGTACAATGAATCCACCTGGACAAGTAGCCTTTGGCACTGATGTAAGACGAGGTTTCAGTGGCATCAGCAGCAGTGTCATAATCTGAGCTGCAGGACACTAACGGAGAAGGTGATGAGTTAATAAGACATCTGAGTACCGAATGGTGATTTAACCATGGTGATTTTTCCAAGATAGACTTGTTAGCCCCAAGTCTTTCACGACCTATGGAACTTAAAAAGGGACATACTATAGAAAATTGTCCTTTTTGATTCTTGCATGCCTCCCCACTCATTGTGTCTGAAATTAAAGCACTAAGTCAATCTTTTGTCAGCCTATTTGTGAACATGTGTCTATGAACGAGGTAGTCCACCCATGACTTGACAGCAAGGCTTGCCAAACATCAAGAGCCACTTTCTCATAACAACCGGACACTATCTGGAACACCACAAGCCACCGTGCTGTGTTTCGGAGGATGCACAGATTAGTGCTAGCTCACAGAGTTAGCTTCCGTTAAGCAGAACATACGCGATTGCTTGATTTTGTGTTTGCCAATGTGTCCACTGCATGCTTCACAAACACTGTCTGCACAAAAGTGTACAGATTGGAATTCAGCATCTTGGCGATGAAGTGCTGCCACCACGAGGGAAAATATAATCCATGTTGTCATGTAGTGTTTTATGTGTGCTTTTCACTTCGCATTCACTTTTTTAGTTTCGGAGCACTAAGTGTTCCTAGTTGTCACGGTAACAAGGGGTAGAATGGGGGGATGATTCACTTACAAGGAATGGGGATGCCCTCACGAAAGAGGCTAATATTAGCAAGGCAAACTATACAATTCCTGATCCATACAGTATTTTGACAAACATTTTGATTGTGAAAATAATGCATAATTGGTCTCCTTTCATAAGTGGTGAACATTTGGGGTTTTTTTTTGTTTTTAAACAAAACCTAATAATGCTATGCTATTGTATAATGTTAGCAGGACGTATTGAGAAGATAATACCAAAAAAAGCCCTCATCAAGGCCTAGAATTTGACGTATGACTCAATGAGCTTTGTTGAAAACCACTTTTTGACCTTGAAATTGGATGCAGGGTTTCCTCTGATTAGGACGGCATCTCGTTCTATGCTGATACAGTAGTAAAGTTATAATTACAGTAAATATTTGTATGAAAATCACTTCTAGGCCATCAATATAAAATTACAGCCATAGCCTTTGGCTCCCTTTGGTTGCAAAATAAACCCTTGTGTGAGTGAATCACGAGATTAAACTCACTGTCAACCCTGAGTTCGGCCCTGGTGGCCGCAATGCCGCTGCTGTTTTCCGCCGTGCAACGGTAGACTCCCATGTCGGACGGCAGCACGGCAGTGATGATGAGCTGATGGCAGCCTTCCTGGTCCTCGTTGATCATGTAGTGGTCATTCTCCTCCAGCACTTTGCCATCTTTGTACCAGCGCACGGCGGGCGAAGGCTTGCCGATCACCACGCAGTCGAAGCTGACCGGATAGCCTTCGGGCACGTCCTGATTTTGTAACTCTGTCAAGAAGACGGGAGCGGCTGGGGGAGGAGGAAAACAAAAGTATTGAAAGCAAAGACCTCCACCAAGGCAAACCTGTGAAATGAATGAGTGAATGTTGGCGTCCCTCTACTTCCTCTTACTCTCTGTCTCCTCTCAGATGGCGTTGATCATCTTTTTAAAAACAATGACCTTTGACATGCATTTGAAAGACAGGATTTTTTTTCCCACAAGTGTGTCATTATCTCATCTCATATTTTTTTTAAAGATGGCATCCATTCATCCATTATCGTCATTATCATCTAATTACAGTCAAACCTCGGTTTTCGAACGTCTCTGTTCTCGACCAAATCGGTTTTCGACCAAAAATTTCGAGTTTTTTATTCTTCGGATTACGACCGAAAATCGGTTCTCGACCAAACTGAGCACACTTGAATGTGCCACTTAACTCCTCTCGCCTTCCTTACACGAGGAAGTGACGCTTCCTCGTGTAGCGTTCCATTGTGAGCAGACGTGTTCAATAAAGATTTTTTTTTTCTTAAAAAGAGCGTGGTTTTGGTTATCGAACAAATCGCTTTTCAAACAGCCTTCTGGAACGGATTATGGTCGAAAACGAGGTATGACCGTAATTATAAATGAAAAAAATATGAATATAGAATAACACAATTACAGTGATTTAACTTTTTTTTTAACTTCATCTCCAAATGACCAGGCCCCCTTTTGTTGGTTTTACAAATTAAAAGTGGCCCGTGGGAGCAAAAATGGACCAAAACCTGCTCTTGCGTGAATGTGACTGAAAGCTACTGGCTTTACAGTGAACTGTATTTTTGTAGACACTCAACAACATAGAACAATAAGAACGAATAGCAGCGATACTCTTGATCTTACCAGCAGCTCCAGACAATAACACAGGAGGTTGTTTTTCTTGAGTGGGTGTTTCTGTGCCATCCTGTGTGAACTCCATCTTCCTAATCCGCAGCTCCACTTTGAGATGTCCGGCGTCCAGGATGCTGGTTTCCACTGGGACTCCGTGGATGGTAAACATCTCGTGGAACCTCTTGGACGCCACCTCCGCCTCTGACCACGTGTCGAAGCGGATGTAAATGTACCTGTCATCCTCACGGTAAGAGTGAGGATCCGGAGGGCAGAGTTCTCCTTCATCTGCGCTGATGAAAGGTTCCTCCTCCACATCCGGCGGGAGGCGCGTACGTAGCAACCGGCGGAGGCGTCTGCTCGCCTGCCTCAGCGACTCGTCCATCTCGCTGCCCGACGAGCTGTCTGGCTCACTGTCGGCGCTGTAGCCAACTGTCAGCGGCCGCCGGCCGCATGATTCTCTCACGGTTCCCACCGTAACCTTTGCACTGTGAGAGATGACGCCAAACTTATTGTTGACCTCGCACGTGTACACGCCCGTGTCTTTGGTGGTGATGGCAGTAATGACCAAGGAACAAGTGCCGTCGTTGTAGATGTCGATGTGGTGGTGTTTGCCGTCCGACAGCGGCTCTCCGTCCTTCAGCCAACGCACCTTATCGGGTTTACCTTCTGCCACACACTCCAGATGTATGGTGCCATTCGGCTCTTTGGTCTGGTCTTTGAAAACCTCCTTGAAAACCGGCCGCATGTCCTTGCGCGCCTTGTAGCCCTTGAAGGCAGCTTGGATCTTGATGGCAGCTTCCCTGAGCTCAGGTTCGTCTTCCTTGCTGATCTCCAGGATCTCAGTTTCCGGTGTTGATGCCTGCTTTGTTTCGGTCCGCTGAACTGTCGTCGTTTTCTGGTCGGTCATCTGAAAGTGTTTAAAGAAGCGCTCGGTGGCTAGTGTCCGGTCATCGGAGGTCTCAACCGTGGATGAAGACTGAAGCTGACTGTTCTTCTTAAGGTAGGACACAAGCGAAGACCCATCAGAATGGGACTCCTCAGAGCTGGTGTGCAATTCAGACTCGGTCTGTTTCTTGGTCTGCTCGCTCTCTTTTGATATTGATTCCTTCTCTGAATCGCTGCTCTCCTTCTGCTCCGTTTTCTTTGGGCCGCCTTTCCCATCGTCCTCTGGGTGTTCAGTGATGGAGTCCAGAGTAGGTTCGCGACTCATGCGCCTTTTCTTGGCCGAGGCCTCCCACAGATCATGGAGGTCTCCTTCTTCAGCAGCCTCCGGAGGAAGACTGGGCTGTCCTAGTTGCTCCGACTCAATTTCTTTGACCTCCGTTTCTATTGGCACACAGCGTTATGAATCAGAATTTTGGCGGCGCAAACAATGCAACCTCAAGAAGTGGCGAGCCATGCATTTGGTACTTGAGACTTACCGAAATTAATCCAACTCTTATTACCACAACTATTATGTTGCAAAAATTGAATTATTAATAGACACAAAAATGCAATAGAGCACACAGCTGTGCTATGTATATCAACCGGAACAATTCAGAATCAATATTTATCAAATAACATGACAGAAGTCCAATACAACATAGTCATCAGAGTTGCTGATGGCTGACTGTAATAACGTGTGCACACCATGCTGGCCCCGTGAGGTCCAATTTGAAATCTAATTGTACGATAAATATGTCCGACTGCTAATATCGTTACAATGTCCAGTAGTACTGATTGTGACGAGTCATTTGCGGATTGTAATTTGATTGCCACAATCGTCCAGTTCTGTCTAGTTCAGATGAGTCGCTTGGTGTGCGGCTGACTTTAATATTGAATGGTCCACTCACCAAGCTGCACAGTCTGAGGAAGCTCAACAGACTCCCCTGTACCGGCTCTGTTGATGGCTGCCACTCGAAACCTGTAGCCGGTGCCCTGGATGAGATTTCCCACCACAAACTCGGTGTTGCTCACGGGAGTGGAGTGGCACGGAAGCCACAGAGCGCTTTCTGCCAGCCTCATCTCCACCTTGTAGCCCAGAATGGGACTTCCTCCGTCATGTAGGGGAGTGAACCAGGAAAGGGTGACCGATTCTTTGGTCTTGCTGAGGACTTCGGGGTCCTCCGGTGGGTCTGGTACAGCTGCGACGAAGAAAGCAGCAGGAAGGACTTTGAAGTAGATTCTTACTCATAAAGGGTGACACAAAAGGCAAAGTCTGATTCTGAAACCCATTATTGTCCATCCATCCAATCATTTTCTGATGCGCTTATGCTCACAAGGGTCGCGGGGCGTGCTGCAGCCTATCCCAGCTGTCTTTGGGCAGCTGGCGGAAGACACCCTGAATTGGTTGACCCATTATTGTGTGAAATCAAAATAACCTGTATTGCTGTCAGCTCACTAAGGACATCCTGATAACTTTTTCACATGTGCTACATTTTTTTAACAGTCCCATAATTTCCACATTTTCCACGAGACACAAAACCATTCAAATGAATGGAGAAATGTCAAGGATTCACCGTAAATTTTTAAAGAATCATTTAGCAAATACCCAAAAGGAAGGATGACATTTATGGCAGATTGAAATCATTCATCCTTTAAATGTTCAGCATTCTAATTATTACAACTTTTGGAAACAATTTCCATACAAACATTACCAAAGCAATGAAAAAAAATTGATGACTAAACCTCTAATTCAGGGGTGCCCATTACGTCAATTGCGATCGACCAGTAGATCAAGGATTGGTCCCAAGTCGATCCGAGAGGTGTAGAGGGGAGAAAAAAAAAACATTTGTGTCTCTGTGCATGTTAGTAATATATTTTTTGTGTTAATGCACACTGCACCCTCATCATTCTGTCAGTCTCACTTTCACAGAAAGTATTTTAAAAATAAAATAAAGAAGATAATCTTTAACCTACGGTGACGTGTGACTGCGTCACCGGAAGTTGTTAGCGCTTAGCAGTTTACAGTTGCAGCTTGTGATCAGAGTTGTTGCGCTCTATCTTTTATCGTAATCACTATTGTCATTCAGAGTTTGTTTTGTACAATTCGCCGAGGGGACGGGCAAAGAATGGGAATTTGGAGGGCTGAGAGAAGCATTTTAAAACGGTACGCGTGAGCTACGATTGTTAACAGGCTGCCAAAGTGCGTCGCATGCCTCAGCGTCAGGCTATTGCTCACCATGGAGTGCGTGTGTACGTGTGCGCGTGCGGTAACGGGTCGATCGCGTGAGGTTGGTTGATCGAAAAGTAGATCTTCGGTCAAAAACGTTTGGGCACCCCAGCTCTAATTTATCATTTTTCAAATGATTCAAATCATTCTGACTTCATAATCGTCAAGACTTCCAAAATTCCAATTTAAAAAAAAAAAAAAGAATTCCACATTGTTCTTGAGAAATTTTGCGAATGAATAGAGAAATGTCCACAAATTCACCTCGATCTTACAATTCAGCCATTTTTTTCTAATTCGTTCTAACACTACTATTGTTGTAATTCAACCACGGTGAAAATCCGATCGACTAATGAACTGCAAGACTCACCGATAATGGAGAGCTTGGCCATAGAGAGAGCGTCGCGTGCTGCAAAGGTTATTTCCTGTTGAGCCATGAGTGGTGCCTGCCTCAGGATGAGGCGATAGCGGCATCCGTCGTTCCTGGTGATCCACAGTTGGCCGGGCTTGAGCTCCACTCCGTTGGCATACCAAACGATTTCCGACGCGAGCACGGGCTCAGTCAGCTCCACACCAAATTCCACCCTCTCACCAACGGCGGCCACCACGTCCTCCAGATGCTTTGCCACGCCCAGCTGCCAGCCCTTGACAGCAAGGTGGGCAGACGTGGACGTCGTGCCCGCCCTGAAGGTGACTGTGCAGCTGTCACTAACGCGCAGCTCTTTGAGGAGGAGCAGGTGACGACGGCCGCTCTCAAAGGACACAATCTCAGCATTGGGTGATTCCTTCACCGGTTTGTCATCCAGGAGCCACAGGCAGTCTTTGTTCTCCGGACGAGACAAGGCACACTCAAACAAAGCTTCTCCTCCGTCAAAGGTTTCCACGTTCTCCAGGCCTTGGACTATGTTGATGGGTTTGGCTATTGGGGATGAAAAAAAAGAGATGGGATAGAAACGATACATTCTTTGCACTTTGTGATGTAAAAAAAAAATAATAATAATAATAAAGCAGCAGATTAGTTGATAGCGTCACAAAATTCACCAGTAGGTGAGGCCCTGAAGGTCATTGCTCTTTCCATGTGGAGGAGAGCTCACCTTCCACATGAAGCGAAGCAACCACACGGGTCCCCTCTGCCTCACAGGAGTATGTGCCCCTGTCTCCGGCACACACGCGGCTAATGTACAAGCGAGACACAGTCCAGTCCTGCTCCACTACCACCCTGCGGCCATCAGGCTGCAACGGCTGCCCGTCTCGCTTCCACTCGGCCTTCACCGGCCTCGAGAACTGGCAGATGAACTCGGCCGGTTGGTTCTCGACCACCCTAAGGTCCTCCATGTCGTTCACCACTTCAACTGTGGGATCTGAGGTTGAGGTCAGGTGTCACAGGGTCAGGGCGGTGCTTTAAGACTGATCATATTTGTACAGCGCATGCCAAACGAGGGCTTTAAAACCTCCGGAACCTTTTGGAGTGAGTGATGTTAATATAGTTGAAGGCAGGGATCACCAACCTTTTTGCAACTGAGAGCTACTTTTTGGCTACTGATACATGCGATGGGCTACCAGTTTGATTAACACCAGTTAGCAGTTATTTGTTATCGGAATAATATTGACATATGTGAAGTTATTGCTCATGGTATCATGATTTCTCACAATGAAAAGGAAACATAGATATGAAAATGCAACACAATAATTGGCGTGAAATCTAAATTTCAAGGGAAACAACTTCAACCGAAATTTATGTTGGGTAATTCAACAAAATGCTTTCGGGGTTTTTTTCTTGTGAAAATTGCCTTTTCCGCATTACACAACAAAGAAATATGACTTCATAGAACTAATTCTTCCTTGTATTATCGCCTAACTAAAAGATATTACTAAAAACGACACAGCAAATTGTTTTGGAGCCAACAATTTGCTTGCTTTGTTGTGCGAACTAACATTACTGCTACGAATGTCAATAATGGATATTTTAAAGTTACTGTTTAAATGACTGTTTTAGCCCCCAAAAATACACTTTGTGATTTTTACACTGTATGAATCTGGATTTTCAAGTGATCACTTCTACAACATTCCGACCGGCACCTCGTTGGTGACCCCTGGTTTACGAATTGACCTGACAAACATCGGAGGTCAAAAAGCCCAAAATATACCCAGATTATGGTTTAAATTGCAGTTGACAAAGGAGGCCATTTTAAACTCAAAAGGATGGATAACCAAATGTTAGACAGTGGCGTGCTTGCAGGTTAAGCGCAGATTCATTTGGTCAAATGGTGTAAAAGAAGTCAAAGTCAGTAGTAGAAAGCAACAGGCCAGAATGGATGGGTGGAGCAGCACTGCACTGTTTGGGGTAACTTCCCAAATTATTATTTTTTTGGATGACAAAGTCCTTAATACAGTAGACGCCCATCTTTCACAAGGGTATGTTCTGCCGACTCTTTCGAAAAGTGAAAATTTGCGAATATCGCGCAGCTATGCATAATTCTTAAATCTAATTTAGTTACATTACTTCCGACGCTCTTTAACCACATTCTAGACTCAAACACGTGCATTAATACTTGTACTGCAACTGAGTGAACCGTCAGATAGACAGTGTACTTACCAGTAAAGATTAGTTACGGGAGACCGACAATGTTTTGTGGTGACTCAGCTCCCTCTCATGTATTGTTGAGAAATTCGAGTTTTATTTTGGAACTTTTCACTTCGCAAAGATGGATGGATCGAGAGAGAGAGAGAGAGAGAGAGAGAGAGAAAGAGAGAGAGAGAGAGAGAGAGAGAGAGAGAAGAGAGGGGGTCTACGGTTTGATCAAAACAGGCCATGTGGCCTTTGCAATATTCAGAGGAAAAAAAAATCCAAAACCAAAGGCCTAATAAGTGGAAGGAGTTTGGAAATTTGCTGTTGTGCCACACCCAGATGCATGACATACAAAAAAAAAAAAAAAAAAAAGAAAGAAAGAAACAAGCTCACGCATGCTCAAGCACACTCAACATCAATGTGAAGCCTAGATTAGCTCATCGAGAATTTTACAAGCCTCTGCAGAAAACCACGTTGGACATGATTTTCACATTGACAGTGGAATCTCCAAGTCAAACATCATCCTTTCCGTGACACTTGTTGACCTTTGAGTTGTTGTCATGCAATGTGAATTCATTTCACCCATCCATCCATTTTCAGTCGTGCTTGTCGTGTCACCAGTCAGTCGCAGGGCACACACAGAGACGGACGACTCTTCACTCTCGGATTCACACCGACGCTGAATGGAAGCTGGACTTCCGTTGCCTTCACTGAAGTCAGGCAAATGTCCAATTATATCAGTAACTCGGGTTGACTGGTTTCAGTTTCAAAGAACTTTGTACAGCGTGGTTAAATATGACTGTCCGTCCATCCATCCATCCATCCATCCATCCATCCATCCATCCATCCATCCATCCATCCATCCATCTTCTAAACCGATCATCTTTATAAGGGTCTCGGGTGAGCTACGGCCTTTGTCACCTGACTTTGGGCTAGAGGTGGGGTACACCCCGCACTGGACGCCAGCAAATTACGGAATCTACACTGAACCCAACGTGCATGTTTTTGGAATGTGGGAGGAGCCCATTCAAGAACAGGGAGAACAGACCAACACCACACTGGAGGGCCTGAACCTGGATTTGAACCCCCCCACCCCAATCCCCCCAAACTCAGAACTACTGTGAAATACAACAAAAACAAAGAAAAGTAAAACTACTCATGCTTTAGAGACCTCTGACAAATGTGTAATGGAACAGCAACATAAACATATTTGCATATGCTGTCACCTAACATTCTTTTAGGTATTGTGTGCTTATATACATTTTGGACATGTGATTTAGGTTTTCGTTACCGTAGCTTGATTAAACTAAAATGTGTTCATGTACTGTAATTGAGACGAACCCTTTCAGGGACAGCGGTTACTAGAGTGGCCAGCTATTCACATGTCATTTTCTCTTATATTAATTCATCTTATGTTGTAGTTGTGCATTAACCACTAACTACAATGAGCCCTTAGCTGGCGACCTTGTGTGTTGCCATCCACTGCCATAATTTTTTTGTCATGCCTAAAGACTAATAGAAACACTTGAGAAAAAAAAAATCCTGATATAGGGTTATTATTTGTGCATGATAAGGTTAAATTAATTCTATTGCTCATATTATAGCCTGAAGCTTTCTGAGGTCACAGTAAATTCCCTTTCGAGCTCTGTTTTTAGAATCATGCTTTTGGGGACAATTGTGGGACAAATAAAGGTTATCTTATCTTATCTTATCTTTTCCTCAGTTTTCCTCCTTTTTCATCCGTGGCCCGCTCCTGTGACATCTCAAAAAAACCCACAAAAGCCCTTTAAAGAAAATCAAAACTCACTTGTCGAAAAAATTTGCATGTTAAGCGGGGTGTGTTTAGAGTGATTTTACCTCCCAAAGCTGCTCCAAAAAACAATTGTAAATGTGAAACATTCACTATTCATGATGGCAAATCCTTATGCGAGTGATCAATACAGGATGACACTTTGAACTTGTGATTCTTGAGGCATGTTTTTCCAGAAAATTTTACTTTCATTCTAAATTGCACCATTTTGGGGTTGTTCGACTCTGGAGTTTCCACTGTATTTTATATAGAATCGGGATAGTCGTTATCTTGAAAATGAATTCATCGCTACACAAGTACATTGCTTGACTTTTTGCAGGACGTAAAAGGCTTTGGTCATGTTCATGTTCATTTCAGCGATACCTTTGACAAGGAGCTTGGCTGCTGAGGTTAAACTGCCAGCTTTGAACATGACAGTGCCCGAGTCATCTGTGGCCAGGTTCTTAAAGGTGAGTGTGTGGATGTGGCCCTCACTCAGCCCTATCTCAGTCTCGGGGCCGCTCTTCAGCAAAGTGCCGTCCAACCACCACTGCACTTTGCCGGGCGCCTGGCCGGACAGCTGACAAGAGAATGTTGCCCATTCCCCAACAAACACATCCACGGGCTTAAGACCGCACAAAATGTAGATCTCTTTCACTGTTGAGTGAAAATACAAATAAAGGAACAACCTCAGGCTCAATTTTTTTCACGACAGTACTACAGGGGTTCCTGTTTGTGGCAGCGGCAACATAACCCAATTTTTTTAAGCAAGCCACCATCGTCTATCACTAACCTACTGTACAGTATGCTAAAAAAGCTCAAAACAATAAGTACTGCAGTAACTGAGCACACCTTCTTGTGCCACATGGCGCCGCTGCGCAAACAAGTTCATAGTTGCGATCTGTGTAGGGGGGGTGGGGACTGGTTTTAAGGTAGATAACACTTTTCCCACAGCACAGTGTGGAACATACCGAAATATCGAAATATCTTCTTTATCTGACACTCAAAATAGTGTCTGCATTTCCATCTTGAAAACACAAATCTTTCCTTGCACCGTTGTTATTTTTCATGTGGTAAAAATGTGACGTGGCACTTAGGTGACATCAATCTCCAAGGTGGAAATGCAAATTGTGAAGTCTCCGAATGCTTCACTGCAACACTGTCGCTCCCCTTTCTTTGAGTGTTCTTACGTGCAACACGTAAACTAGTTCGTTGTGCGTCACTTGAAACCAGAAAACCTTTATCGTTTGTAAGATCATAAAACAAGGAACCCCTGTGAAATAACAACCTCAGGCAGAAAAATTCAACAAATTAAACAATTAAAAAAAAATAAACTGATAGACTGGTCAAACAGTAATTCAGTACGCTACCTTGCACTGTCACAGACGCAGTGGTCAGTTGATCTCCTGCGTCACAGGTGTAATAACCACTGTCTTCCGGATCCAGGTTCCATATACGGAGCTCGTGAACGCACCCTTCCTGCCAGAGTTCACATTTCTTACCAGGCGCAAGAACTGCACCTCCTTTCCTCCACTCCACGCAGACCCCTGGCTTGGATAGTTCGCAGCGGAGGGTAACGTCGTCACCCTCGATGGCATCCTGGTTCTCCAGCTCCTTCTTAAAGAACGCTGGGGTAGCTGGTGGGAATTTAAAACAGGAGAATTGGTGCGCGACGTCTCTGCTTGTCATGGTAACGAAATCCTGACTAAAGCCATTTTCAGCGAGACAAGGATATACAGTATAAAGTGCTTTGACATTCTTAATCCTTGAGGAGATTAGACAAAAGCATCCTCTCAAAACACTTGTGAACTGTTTTGAGAATGTAAAAAAGGCATACTATAGTTCCATTTAAATCACCCACTATGTTTGATGTACAGTAGAGATGCACTTGTTTTAGTTAGGGGCTTACCTTCCACAGTTAGGGTGACGTCACACCGATCATCTACGGTCTCGCAGGTGTACGTCCCCGCGTCTTCGGGCACCACATTGTGAATGCAAAGCTGCTGGAAGGCTCCGTTCTGCTTCAGATCGTACTTGAGACCTGCTTTGATGACCACATTGTTTCTCATCCAGGTCACGATCACCTTGGGGTTGGAGATGGTGCAGGCCAGGGTGACGGTTTCCCCCTCCGATGCTGCCGTGTTATGCGGCTTCTTGACAATGAGCACTGGAAGGAATCAGAAAGTGCACGCGAATAACAGACGTTTACTTCGGTCCGATACGGATCATTCAGCATCACTTATGATTTCCATTTGTCAAGTCTGGTCGCTTCTGTCCTTTACCTTTTGGTTTCTCTTCCACCAGCAAACAAGCAAGGCTCTTTTCTTCACCCACAACAAAGGCGACATCTCCCGATTCGTCAGTGGTCACCATCTTCAGGGCCAAGCGATGCACTCGGCCCTCGCTACTCATCTGGTTCAGGTCATTGTTCTGGAGGAGGTTGTCTGCCAGCCACCACTCCACACTGGTCACACCGGCGTGAGACAACTCCACCTCGAAGATAGCGTCCTGCCCCGTTTGCACGGTAATGTCGTGCAGTTCCCGCAGGATACGCACGTGTTCTGAGAATAAATGGGAGTTCAGGACCATAATAAGAAATAAATAGAGATCCACGCAATTCACAAGGTTGTTGTTTTTTTCTGTCGATCCCATCATTAGCTATTTACTGAAAAACTCATCCGTTTGCAGTTTTTCTGCTCTTTTTGTGCCAGTAAAGCTCTAACATGCTACAAAATGGCATCAAAACCCTGGCGAATAGTAAAGTAGGAACTGGTGCAAAGGAGGTTGAAGTGATATATCGCAACCTAGAGATATTTGTATGTTGGTTGGAGCTCACTTCAGCCTCAGCTGTTAGTGGAAGTTGAATAGCTGGGATTTGCTGTACAAGGGGGCATTGGTTTCCTCTATGATGGTCCTGACATCAGACATTGAGGATTTGAATGCTCACGGTTATGAGCGTAAGAATACGGGGCACAAGAAAGTTAGTTACCACTATGCATAACTTCCATCCATCCATTTTTCCATCCATCCATTTGAACCTGGTACCTCTGCACTGTGACGTCAACCTGCTAGCCACTGGACCAACGCGCCATCTTGCATAACTTTTATTCATCTGATTGTTTTACTTGCTTAATGCCATTTGAGGGTCTTGACATTATAAACGGCAAGCAATGAACTACTTTGCTCAGAAGTACAGTATAAGGATACGTTGATGCTTGACAGGTGAAGGTAAGCTAAGCTAACGCTATACTTACCGCTTTTAATTCGATTGTTTTATATTTATGACTGTTTTTCATAAGAATATCAAAGGTGAAGATTTATGACTTCACGACAATGTTCGCTTTGGTTACAATTTCCGGTTAAGTCGACAAATAAATTCATACAAAGTGCCACATGGTCTGATTTACCTTTGACAGTGACAGTAGCAGCGCTTTTCTTGTCACCCGTGTCGCAGCTGTACTCCCCACTATCCTCCGGTCTCAGCTTGTGAATGACAAGAGTGTGAATGGCAGCGCTCTGGTCTATGCTGTATTTCTCCCCGTGGCTGAGCAGAGTTGAGCCCTTCCGCCAAGTCACCTTGCAGGTGGGGCTGGATGTCTCACAAGACAAAGTGACTTTTTCACCCTCGGTGCCCTCTTGGCTGTCCAGGGTCTTCTTGAATAAAACAGGCGAGGCTGCCAGAAAAGACCATTGCCATTTAGAATAAATCACGTGTTGATTTTTTTTCCAGATGGAAATATAGCCATCATAATAAATAATGATGTCTTTACTAAGAGTGCCAGATATCTTGATCCAGCCGCTGTTTTGGGAATAAAAATGGGTTCATTTCAACTCAATCTGCATGGGAATTCAATGGGGGGAAAAAAATCGATGTATTAGATGAACAACTAAGGTGCGTGCCATTTGAATTCCATCCGAAATCCCACCTTCCTATAAGGCCGGCCCCCTGCTCTGTGCAGCTGTAACCATCATTGGACAGTCTCGCAGGTCAATTATTATAGTCACACCATTCATCCATTTTCTGTTCCGCTTTATCCTCACAAGGGTCGCGGGGGGTGCGGGAGCCAATCCCAGCCGTCTTCGGGCAGTAGGCGGGGGACAGCCAATTGCAGGGCACACAAGAGACGAATAACCATCCGCGCTCACACTCACACCCAGGGACAATTTAGAGTGTACAATCAGCCTGCAATGCATGTTTTTGGGAATGTGGGAGGAAACCGGACTACCCGGAGAAAACCCACGCAGGCCCGGGGAGAACATGCAAACTCCACACAGGGAGGCCGGAGCCGGAATCGAACCCACGACCTCTGCACTGTGAGGTCGACGCACTCACCACTGGATCACCGGGCCGCCCTATAGTCACACATTTTTTATATTTTAGTCAGTGTTTTGGTTAATTCCGGTTAGTATTTGTCCTGTGTTGATTTACCGTTGTAGCATTACACAGTTCCAAAAAAAAAAAAAACCCAACAAAAAAAAAACCCCTGATTTTTGGGGGGAGAAAAACACAATATGATCACCCTATTTTAACACAATGTTTAATATTTCATTAAAAGCAACATCACAGATTAGATAAGAGCTCAGAGGTAAAAGCACTAGTTACCTTTAAAGTGGGAGAAAAGAAAAAATCTCTCTCTCTCTCTCTCTCTCTCTCTCTCTCTCTCTCTCTCTCTCTCTCTCTCTCTCAGTTGTCAACAAAAAAGGGTTGAAAGGAAAAACGTTCTTCATTGGAAAGAAATAAATTATATAACCATAGGTTGATCAGCAGAGCCTCTTAGTACTTTCCAATGAGAGCTTTTCAAAGGAAGTACATGTCCACATTTAAAGAAAAGGAAACATAAAGAGAAGCTTAGGAGCAACATTTTCCAAGAGTATCCACCACTATTGAGGATGAAGGAGGGTTAAAAAAAAAGAAAAAGACATGGATCTGAAATTTCAAGTATGGGTGTATATGCTATGAGCAGCTCAATATTTCCTTACCTGTGACAGTCAGAGAGGCCGTGGATGTGTGGTTGCCCACTGAGAAAGTGACTGTGCCTGAGTCCGCCGTGGTGACGCCTCGAAGCGTGAGGCTGTGTGTACAACTTTCTATCTTAATAACATTCACATCATTATTCTGTAGTGGGAAATCTTTGAGTCTCCACTGAGCCGACGGCGCATCCTCATGTGAGACCAGACACTCAAAGTGGACGTCTTCGCCTTCGCGTGCGACGCAACTCTCCAAGAATTTCACTATGGACACCTCCACTTCTGTGTAAGAGACAAATACTTGTCGTTTGGGTTGAGCAAGTGCTTGGCAAATACGTCAAGAGGAAGATGTGTTAATATCAGTGATGGTATGAGACAAGTGATCAAACACACGAAATCAAGTGTTTGTGTCGTTAGGGAGAGGTGCAGGAAGAAGAGTGGATTCCACACACGTGAGGGCAAATTACATTTGAAAGTTTCAAATGTAATCAAGACAGTCGAAGAAAGTCAGTGGATACAAGCTGTTTGAATTCATGCTCAAGAGAAATGAGTGGAAAGTGCAATGAAAGAAGTGCACACGAGAAGAAAACCCAAAAAGAGCCTACCCCGCACAGTGAGGGTGGCTGAAGTCTTGTGGCTGCCCGTATCACAGGAGATTTCTCCCGAGTCCGCTCCCCGCAATTTATAGATGACGAGCTCTACAAGCGTCCCTGTCTGTTTCAAGTGATATTTGCTGCTTGATACCAGCACCCTGTCACCGTGTCTCCAAATCACACGAGCTCCGGGCTTTGTGGTTTCACAGCGGAGAACAGCTGTCTCCCCTGCCTGCCTCTCCAGGTTCTGCAGTTGGGTTTTGAAAAATACTGGCTGGGCTAGAAACAAAAGATATGATTATAATTGTGGCAACCGCTGCAAAAAAAATAAAAGAAAAACTCAAAAAAAAAAAAGACCCAGCCCAAGTCAGAAGCGGGGTACACACATCAAGATAGCATCAGAGGTCCTTTTGACCAAGTCAGCAACGACCCATTATCTGTGTCTGAGTTGTGTTCGAGGTCAGGCCGTCAATTTCAAATGTTAAACATTCTGATTATTTTTCAGACAGTCATGTGGAATTGAAACACCAAGGGGGAACAAAAGAAAGTGTCATAATACACTACAATGTATGACCTTTATGTAGTGACTACATAAAGGTAATGCTGCCGTAAACGTTGGACGATCCTCTGTGACTTTTCCCCTCAGTTTTAAGCCTTGTGCCTCGAACAAATATGTGGCTCATCAAAATCATGGTTGCTATGGATCAATTTTTCAATAAACCACATTTTGAAGCGATAACGTCACACTAAAATTGCTACTGTGCTACTGGATTGACAGATAGAACACCCTTCCGTTGCATGGTGCCGCTGCTAAGTCACAAATAACAGTGGGGACCTAAAACAGGTTTCGTCACCCTGCCTGAGCTTCCACTTAATGAGATTTTATGACTTCTCCAAGGAGAAGACCGAGGCAAGACATTTCCATGCATTGTCACTCAGTACATTTCCATCTGTGTGTCACGTTTAATTGCACGTTTTTGGAGCGGGCGGGGGTTGGGGGGCAATTTAGTGTTGGTGGACAGATTGTTAAGTGTGTGTGGCGTGTTTTGTGTCATCCTAACGTTCATCAGTCCGTCGCTATGAGGATAGTAAGAGCACATGGGCCATTTCATTCCGTGCGTGCCCCGCTTTCGACAAGCTAGTAAACCCGAAATGGCAAGCATACCCTTCACAGCCACATATGCTGTGCTTTGATGGAAACCAGCGTCGCACGTATAACAGCCCATGTCGTCTTTGTCTACGTCGTGGATTACAAGCGTGGCGGTGCGCTCGCTTTGTCTAATGTCATACTTGGAACAGGGACAAAGACCGAGTTCTTCTTTCCTCCACTCGACAGGGACGCCGGCTTTGGAGAGCTCACACTGCAGAGCCACGCTTTGGCCCTCATCAGCTCTTTGGTCTTCCAGCTCTTTTGTAAAAGTGACTGGGCGAACTGATGGACAGAACGCAATGACCGAAAAAAGATGAATGGGGCATGGGGATGGAGAAGATGGAAAATCGCAGAGAGAAATTGAAATGACGGAAATGCGCAGCTTGGCTTGAATGGCAGAGCTGAAGCCATCCTACCATTGACTTGAAGGGAGGCAGTGCTTGTTGCGTCCTCCCAAGAGCATGAATATGTTCCTGTGTCACAAGGTCTCAAATCCAAGACGTGCAGTTCATAACGGAATCCATTTTGTGTCATCTGGTACTTTTCGCCACAACTCAGGAGTTGAGTTCCTTTCTTCCACTCAACAGGAAGTCCCGGCTTAGAAAGCTCACAGAGCAGAGTAACACATTCTCCTTCGGCGGATTCTTGGCTTTCCACTTCTCGGAGCAATGTGACTGGAGGGACTGGGGGCGAATGGAATGGATCATAAAAATGGGTGGCGTGATGACTGTCAAGTTGAACACTATATGAAGACTCGTGCCAGTTCAGAAATATAACAACAAACATTTGAAACTTACCTCGCAGAGTGGCTGGTTGTTTTACGCCACAAAATTTCTGTTCACATTCATATAAGGAGAAACGAATTCCACTCAGCCCTTTCCCAGTCTACCAAATAATGGGACTCAATCCCTTCTAAGAGCAAAAGAAACTCGCAGGCAATCCTTCAAACTCACAAAGTCTTGGAGCTGAAGCATAATGTAGACATCGATGTACATCTTTCTTTCCTGAATCCAGAGCCAGAAAAGATAAGAATCCCAGAACGGCAGAGCCATTGCAATGCAGAACGTGTGCAACAATGGGAAGAGTAAGAAAATTCATCGACGTAAATCAATGGGGGCACAAAAAAAAAAAAACGTGCCATTAACACCCACAAAAATGGGCATCTGCTTCTGTAGTGTAGAATCATGAACAACTTAGTTTTCAGTATTCTGCTCAAGAAAACTCATGATTGAACCAAGAGATATGCCTCCGTATCGAAATGTCACACTTTCAACATTTGGGAGTCAGGCGTGCATAAAACCACTTGACAAGCTTCATTACATTTTCATTGAAAAGCGAAAGAAAAATGTCTCCATAAAAAAAAAAAAAAGCCAACTCTGTTGCTCAGATTATAACATTTCTCATTCAACTGCAGTGAATGTATTCATGGAATTTCCAGTTTGCAGGACAAAGACAGATTCGATTCTGTGACAATGCTTTGGTGACCTTCAGCTTTACAAATGTCATTGCTGCCCTAGGGGCGGTGTAGCTCTTTTACCCCTTTTACACGCCCAAAAATTGTTGGGGGCCGGGGCCAGGGCCAGTGCTGTTCTTATTTGGGGCTTAACAAGTTCTTACGAAGAACGTGTTTGGTTTTCCACTGGCAAAGAGCCAAGCAGAAGCTACGTCATCATAAAGCATCCAAACGTCACTGCTTACGACACCGTTTACCCAAGAGTGCCTGCACTATTAGTACAAATAATAATAAAAATAATAATAATAATAATAATAATAATGATAACAATAATAATAATAATAACAATAATAATATGCTGCAAGCATCTGATAGGCAATTTAGCATAGCATTGATTATACTTGTATGTAGAATATAACAGTCAGGGTCATGCAATCAGCAAACACTTTTATCTTTCTTAATCATTGGAGATGATCACGAGATCTGGCTGCGAGTCGGCGATCGCATGCCATCTGCGCACATCTGTAATGGCTCTTCTGGTGGGACACAATGGTGCCAGAGTTCACCGTTCAAGAGTTTGTGCAAAACATCTGTGTGCCCAGGGAATCATTCCTCTACATCTGCGATCATCAAGATAACCCCCCCACCAGGCCCACAGAATATTTGGTTCTCATGCTATATAAACATGGAGCCTACCAAAATAAAGTTTGGACATTCTTCTTTCAGCAGAAAAAAAATGTTTCTGTGTTTTTCCATTCTTCAGCAATCGGCATTACAAAATGGCAAAATTTCATGAAAATGTTGATTCCTGGGCAAAAAACGGAGAAAAAGAGCTTTTTGTAATAGCATGCATTTCAAGCACGTGAGGCACCACTGCCACCTACTGGTCGCTTTTTTACATGATTTACAATGCAAACGCCTTATTCTCATCCACAGATTGCATCAGACCCTTCTTCTCTGTTTGACGCAAAAAAAAAAGACTTAGACATACAAGTACGTCCTTGGTAGGCGGGGCCTAATTTTAAAAAGACGTACAAGTACGTGTTGTGGAATGAAAGAGTTAAGCATCAGTTTCAAGCACCAGAGCTAGAGCTAGAGCCAATTTCTGTGATGGAAAAAGCACTGGCCCGGCACGAGCACTTGCACAAGCGGGGTGGGAAAGGGCCATTTGTGGTGTGCTGCTGAGTGAAAGCAAATGATGCCACAAAGCTGTATAGAGCATAAGCCACTCCGAGGATACACGGCATCAAGAGTTGTCAACTCTTTCATGACCATTTTACCTTCATCTCTGCGCTCCTGCATCTCTTGTTTCACAAGCTGCTGTTCAGACATCTCTCTGGTCTTGTGCAGTGTCACAACTATGAAATTGAACATGAGATTTGAACCTCGTTTTGAACTTAAAAAAATACAATTGTTTTAGCTTTGTGCCACACAGCCAACAACAGTTGAGGCAAAGACAACAAGGACCTGGCCAGTCGCCACTCATTCACCCCCCATGCAGTGTGCACACAAGTTGAGCGCTGACTATTTAAAACACAAATAAAACACGACTCACGTGATGAAATGCCACACGTCCATAACATAACTCACTCCGCCACTTCCACAGACCACACTGATACGCAAGGAGCACATGGACTAACATTACCTTCGACTGTTTCATGTATCTCCTGCTTCTTCTGCTCATCTTTAGCAACCACCAATGTAGCTTCAGTCACTTTGGCTGAAATGCAAATATGATATAAGGCCCATCACCTGAGCAAAGCTACAAGCGGGGAATACTTCGGTCAAACAAAACAAGCAAAGTGCATGCTGCCAGCACCATAGCAAAAGCAACAAGTTTTTGGGCTTCGTTTAAAAATAGCCATTTGACATAAAAGACACAAGAAAAACAAAATCAAGAGGAAGAACTTTGCATGGAGAAACCCACGGATACTCTGTACCAAATACCAAAGCCGAGCCATGAAAATGATACTTCCGCAAATCACAGCGATGCATTGCACTGATTCATTACGACAAATCCCACCCCCCGCCCACAAAAAAATATCAACAATACCTTGTAGTGGTTCCTGTATTTTCTGCCAAACATTAAATGATTTGGACTTCTTGAACAGTGTTGCATCGATACATAGACAACAATCTGCATGCAGCCAATCCAATTGGCAATCACAAGAGACCTACGCATATTTCACCACACCACTGAGAGTTTCCACAGCAGATGCACACAAACAGCACCCCCCCCCCACACCCTCCTGAAAAAAAAAATAGCCAACCAAACATTGACAGTATTTCTCAGCATTCAGAGTTGCAGAAATAAATGATTGTAATTTCAAGCTTATATCCTGTACATAGCATTTCATTCATACAACTGATTACCAAAGATAGCAGATGCAAAGAAATGGCAATCATTCAAAACCAAGCAAACAAACAAAAGGTACAACTTTTTAAATTCCAGACTGGACAGGGCAGGTAAAGCTGAAAGCCATCTGAACATTAATACCTTCCGCTTTTTCTTTACCTTCCGGTATTTTAGTTTCCACTTTAGCAGCAGGGAGGGAAGCTGGTGGCTTCATGGCTGAGAGGAAATCAGATTCGTAGCTATTTGGTAACACAACAAGCAAGCAAGCAAATCACGCAGCCACTCTTATTCATGTAATGTGCTACCAAGTAAACCACTGACTATGTCACATAACACACAGAGGGCCCCACAAGACAGACAGACAAGCGTATCTAAATTTAAATGATTCAAAAAGTAGTTCCAAGTCGACAGAAGCGTGACAACAGAGGCCATCAAATACAGTTGATTCAACTCCCTACCCTTGATCTTGACACAAGTCGTGGTTGTCTGCGTTCCACACACACAGCTGTAGTCTCCACTGTCTTCAGGCACCACTTGGGTGATAAGCAGTTCATTCGCAGACGCTTGCTGCTTTATCTGGTACTTATCTCCAGACGTCAGGACCTGCGCTTCCTTCTTCCATTCCACTGAGACTAAAGGCTCCGAAGTCTCACATCGAAGAGTAACCGTCGATCCCTCGTCGGCCTCCAGACTTTGCAGTTTCTTTGTGAAGGTCACTGGTTGGGCTTAAAATACAACGATTACTTCCATCGACCATTCACGGGTGAACTGGGGCTTATCCTTACACCCGTCAACCATTCACGCCTATAATCACACTTTTGCTTTGGTCATTTCAGCAAAAGCCTTTCTCAACATCTACCTTCAACTCGAAGCTCGCGAGTCTCTTGTTCCACGAGTTGCCGTTGAGAGATCTCGCTGGTCTCTTCCAGTGTCACCACTATGAAATCAAACATGGTATTGGAACCTCAGTTTGAACCACTGCTTGACAGCACACAAGAACCTGCCATTCATTCAGCCTTCCATGCAGTGTCTCACCACATAGACAAATATGACTCTCATGAGAGGATCAGTGCACGAGTGGAACAACTTGGGCGAACTAGGAGTACTTTACCTAACTAGGAACCTAAAATCTTGCTGGTCAGTTTAGCCTTCCAAATCTCTGCAGCCAGAGCTGCTGAGCAGGGAGAAAAACGGAAGCAAGAGTTGTCCTTTTAGTATGTCAGTCAAATTTGTCCAACCAGTGTGCAGAATCATTCATTCATTCATTCATTCATTCATTCATTCATTTTCCAAACTGCTTTATCTTCATGAGTGTCGCGGGGGGTGCTGGAGCCTATCCCAGCTGTCTTCGAGCAGTAGGAGGGGGACACTCTGAACCGGTTACCAGCCAATTGCAGGGAACACAGAGACGAACAACCATCCATGTTCACATTCACACCTAGGGACAATTTTGAGTGTTCAACCAGCCTGCCGTGCATGTTTTTGGAATGTGGGAAGAAACCGGAGTACCCGGAGAAAACCCACGCAGGCCCAGGGAGAACATGCAAACTCCACAGAGGAAGGAGCCGCAATCAAACCCTGCACCTCGGCACTGTGAGGTCGACGCAGTAACCACTGGACCACCGGGCAGAATAATATTAATATAAAAATATTATCTGTCACGGAAGGCAGCAGTGGAAAAAAAAATGTTACTCATAAGAAAATTGCATTCTCTAATATGCCCGAGTCATTGTACTCGTGTGCTAATTTTGAGGACAATTAGTGTACTAATACAAGGACCTTAAAAGTTGGACATGAACGATATTGTATAAGTGCTTACATGGCTTTTCGCCGCAATCAAACCCTGCACCTCTGCACTGCGAGGTCGACGCGGTCACCACTGGACCACCGGGCCACCGTGCAGAATAATATTAATATAAAAATATTATCTGTCACGGAAGGCAGCAGTGGAAAAAAAATGTTATACATAAGAAAATTGTACTCTCTAATATGCCCGAGTCATTCTACTTGTGTGATAATTTTGAGGACAATGAGTGCACTAATAATACAAGGACCTTAAGTTGGATATGAACAATATTGTATAAGTGCTTACATGGCTTTTTGTAGGCTAGTTAAAATAAAATACAAATAAAACCAATTTGTGTGATTTAAAAAAAAAAAAAAAAAGAAAAGAAAGAAACAAACAAACACATTGTTTCAAAAAAGCAGAAGCTAAGCACAAAACAAAGACCATAACACACTGGAACACTTCCAAAGACCACAGAATTGCAAAGGACTGACTGATTAAAAAATAAATAACTAAATAAATAAATATGCACTGACATTAGCTTACTGATTCATGTATTTCCCAGTTCTGTTGCTTTTCCTTAGCAGCTCACAACGTTGCTTCGGTCTAAGTGGCTGAAATGCAATTACGACCCGTCTAATGGCAGCCAACTGCCTCCAGTTCAAACAATCCGCATGCGAGCAGCACAAGTGGCAACGAAAAGCACCATCTTCTCTCCATACAAATACCTTTCACCATTTCTTGAGTTCCAAGCCTCTTTGATTCCACTTTATCAGCCGGGAGGGAAGCTGCCGGCTTCACGGCTGGGAGGAAACAATGTTGTGACCTACTATGTCATTATAAAATAAATAAATACATACATACATAAAACACAGGCAGGGCCGCAACTTTCATCCCAATTCAATTTCAAGCCATGAACGAACCGTCGGGCAACCAAAAACAGAAATGATCAAACTTATGACTACATTGTACATTTCGCAAGAAGAGAGCGAGACGGTTGCACCAAACAGAACACAAAGAAGCAAAATGAGGGAAGATCTGCCAAATGGAGACGCTTGATTTCCAGCCGACAGCATGAGCCTTTTAAATAACGCATTTTCCTACCTCTGATTTTGAGACTGGCTGTCGTTTGATTGTCGCCGCACACGCAGCTGTACTCCCCGCTGTCTTCTTCCGCTGCTTCATGAATACATAGTTCATTGACAGTCGCCTCCTGTTTCATCAGGTACGTTTCTCCAGACTTGAGGACCTGTCTTCCCTTCTTCCACTCCACTGAGACTCCTGGTTTGGACGTCTCACAGCGAAGAGTCACACTGGATCCCTCTTCCGCCTCCTGACTTTGCAGCTTCTTTGTGAAGGTCACCGGTTGGGCTGAAACAAATTTCAGTTAGTATGACATGACAATAAAGTACAACCCCCCCCCCCCCAAACAAAACAAATGAAAAAAACTAATGACATGACCCCACAGACCATGTGTGTAGAGTGAAACCTCCAACTTAATTCATTCCACAATGTTGGTTGACTTCCAAGTTTTGGACCAAACAGGACACTTAACTGCCCTTTGTTGTTACTCTTGTGGCGCTTGATGTTGGAGATATACAAAAAAAAAAAAGGAGGGGGGACTTTGTCCTACCTATAACAGTGAGGTTAGCTGCAGTATAGTTCTCCCCACACACGCAGCTGTACTCTCCACTGTCTTCCTCTGCTGCTTTACAAATCAAGAGTTCATTCACAGTCGCTCGCTGCTTCATCTGGTACTTTTCTCCCGACTTCAGAACGAGTCTTCCCTTCCTCCACTCGACTGGGACTAAAGGTTTTGACGTCTCGCAGCAGAGAGTAACACTGGAATCCTCTTCGGCTTCTTGACTCTGCAGCTTTTTTGTGAAGGTCACTGGTTGGGCTAAACATGTTTTTAACTGGTTAGGAAGCAGTGGCATTAAATGACGGACGTGTCGACATAAAAGTGAGGTGACTCTTTAAAACATGAATGAACAACGATTAAAAAAAGTACTTCCTGGGTGACTTTGTGTTCCTCTTACCTTTAACGGTGACTCTAGCTGCAGTGTTGTTCTCACCACACACGCAGCTGTACTCCCCGCTGTCTTCTGGCAGCGCTTCATTGATGTGGAGTTCATTGACGCACGCTTGCTGCTTCATCTGGAACTTTTCTCCCGACTTGAGAACTTGTCTTCCCTTCTTCCACTCCACTGGAACTAAAGGTTTAGACGTCTCGCAGCAGAGCGTGACACTGGATCCCTCTTCGGCCTCTTGAGGCTGCAGCTTCTTTGTGAAGGTCACCGGTTGTGCTGGACATATTTTGAATTGGTCAGCAACCAGGGATGCCATGACTTTTTAGAAATGATGAAACCACATTTCGGTGAGCTGATTCCGCTGACAAACTATATACAGTGGAACTTCCAAAATCGTCCATTCTTTGATGCTCATTGATTTGAACCCTTTCATGCACCCTGTAACTTGTCGACTGGAGTAACCGCTGTCCCCCAAAAGGGTTAAAGTTCTTCATCACTAAATAGAACTAAATAAAAACCAAAGTACAGTCAAACCTCGGTTTTCGAACGTCTCGGTTCTCAACCAATTCGGTTTTCGACCAAAAATTTCGAGTTTTTTTATGCCTCGGATGAAGAACAAATTTCGGTTCTCGAACAAACTGAGCGCACTTGAATGCACCACTTGACTCCTCTCGCCTTCCTTACACGAGGAAATGACGCTTCCTCGGGTAGACGAGGAAGTGACACTTCCTCGTGTCGCTTTCCATTCTAAGCAGTTGCGTTCAATAAACTTTTTTTTTTTTTAAAGAGCGTGGTTTCGGTTTTCGAACAATTCGGTTTTCGAACAGCCTTTTGGAACGGATTATGGACGAAAACCGAGGTTTGACTGTACAAGTAAGCACTGCCACTCTAGTGCTGGCATCAAGAAAATTTCTTATTATGGAGTTAAACCTGTGGCATACAGGATGATAGCTTGAGCAGCTTTTGGTATCATCTGAGTCTTACTTTCAAGTTTGATCTCCAAATTGTACCACTTTAGCACATTTGACTTAAAAGACTCCACTGTATGACAAAACGTTTCCCAAAAAAGTCTTCCGTCTACCTTTAATGGTGAGGCCAGCTGCAGTGTTGTTCACCCCACACACACAGCTGTACTCCCCGCTGTCTTCTGGCAGCGCTTCACTGATGTGGAGTTCATTGACACACGCCTGCTGCTTCATCTGGTACTTTCCTCCAGACTTCAGCACTTGTCTTCCTTTCTTCCACTCCACCGGGACTCCAGGTTTCGATGTCTCGCAGCGTAGCGCAACCCTGGAGCCCTCTTCGGCGTCTTGAGGCTGCAGCTTCACCGTGAAGGTCACCGGTTGGGCTAAATAATTTTAATTGGTTAGCAACCAACGATATCATGACATGATGCTAGATGACTTATAAAAAAAAAAAAAAAAAAAAAAAATGCATATTCTACTATAGTGAGCCCTCGGATAAAGTGTGAGGCTGGCGTCATAAAATCTATATTTCAAACCAATCACAGCATTGTGAGGCAGACGTGTTAAGCGCAAGTTCATTGTGCCGCCACAACCAATGTATCATGAAACTGAAGTAAAATCATTCACTCTTCCAAGATGGTTATGTGATACACAACCAGTGCCATCACGATTACTTTTTGGTGGCATCACAAAAAAAAAAAAAGTTGGTTATCGTTTGCATCAGTGTTTTCAAGAAAAATTGGTTTAGTGAGCCACAAATTGTACCATGTTTGGGACACCCCATTTTGGAATTTCCACCCAATGAGAAACTACAGAATTCTTTTTGAAAAAAAAGAGACTCCATCTTCCTCCTACCTTTAATAGTGAGGACAACTGCAGTGTTGTTCTCCCCACACGCGCAGCTGTACTCCCCGCTGTCTTCTGGCAGTACTTCACTGACATGGAGTTCATTGACACACGCTTGCTGCTTCATCTGGAACTTTTCTCCAGACTTTAGCACTTGTCTTTCTTTTTTCCACTCCACTGGCACTCCGGGTTTCGATGTCTCACAGCGTAGTGTAACGCTGGATCCCTCTTCGGCCTCTTGAGGCTGCAGCTTCTTTGTGAAGGTCACCGGTAAGGCTGGCGATTTAAGTTGAATGTTAGGAACAGTTGCTAAAACTATACACGGAAATGGATGAAATAACCCAACGAGGACATATTCGCTTATTTCTGCAAACTCAATTCAGACAGGTGCCTATTAGGAGAGCAGTCTTTTTTTTTTTTTTTGCACACATCTTTGGAATAATATGTTACATGACATTTAAAACTAAACAAAAACAACTATAGTGGAGGAATGCCGAGAAACAAACAAACAAATAAATAAATAAAAACAGCGGACTGGGTGTAAGAAATAAGTCCCAAAATTATAAAAACATAACCATCGAAGACCACCTTTTTTAGAGGATGCTTCAAAAGGTGCTGCTGTTTTGGTTAGCCACCTAGTTTGAACAGGCTATATTCATGTTCGTGTCTACTTATCCAGTAGAGGTTCATCATACCCTTGATCTTGACACAGGCCATGGTTGTCTGCTCCCCACACACACAGCTGTACTCTCCGCTGTCCTCGGGCTCGGTCTGGTTGATGAGGAGCTCAATCTCACAAGCCTGCTGCTTCAGCTGGTATTTTTGTCCATACGTGAGCAGCTGTGCACCCTTTTTCCACTCAACAGGGACTAAAGGTTTCGAGGTCTCACAGCGTAGGGTAACCCTGGATCCTTCGTCGGCCTCCAGACTCCGCAGCTTCACCGTGAAGGATGGCGGTAATGCTGCAAATGCAACAAAGATTGTATTGTCAAGTTCAGCATTTACACTGCATGTTCAAGTGACATGATTCAGATTTGTTGCTCTGAAGTGGCCGTGCTGGTAAATGCTTCAAAATGCATACCTTTAGATTGCCCATTCACAAATGTGAGACTTCACTGAACCTAGCATACAACTTTTTGGAATGTCGAAGGAAACCGAAAAAACCCCAGATAGAATCAGAGCTAAGTAAGCACTTGGACCAGGAGTTTAAATCCATCAACACAGAACTGCTGCAGTGTGATGTCATTAAAAACAGATCAGTACCGTTCACTTTGAGAGTCGCCGATGTCTTCTGGTCCCCACATAGACAAGAGTATTCCCCGCAATGGTCCGTTTTGACATTCCTAATGCGAAGCTCACAAGATGCCTCTTGCTGCTTTATCTCATACGTCTCTCCAGGAGTGAGAGTTTCAGAGCCTTTCCTCCAGTGAACGTTGGCTGCAGGCTTCGATAGCTCACAGCGAAGTGTCACAGTTTCTCCTTCCGTTGCATCTCGATTCTTGAGCTTTTCTTTGAAAGTGGCAGGCAGAGCTAAGAAACAACAAAATATTATTTACAGTATTAAAATACTTAGACTTCAATTAGTCGCCTCTGCTCGAATAGCCACCACCCAATTAACCCTTTCATGCACGAATAATGATAACCTGTAACCTGATAAGCTGTCCACTGGTCAAGAAAGTGTGTTAGTCATGAGAATAAATTGGGGGGGGGGGGTATGCCTCCTTTATTAGCAAAGTATATTTATATATTACATGTTATGTTTAGAACACTAAAGTGTAGTATGAGGTCCCAATCAAAACTTTGTACACACTTTCTCCCATCTTGCGTATTTAATTCAAAAATGTATTTCCAAATCATGCCTTACAATATTTTGTTTGTCTAACTAGTATTTAGATTTTAAAGATTGTGAGAGAGGGAGAGATGGCGAGGGGGGTGGGGGGGATTCAATATCATTCATTTCTTCGGAAATTTGATCTTAAATGCATGATAATTTGACTTGAAAAGCATTTTTTTCCACATTAATTAATAATGTCTTGAGAAGACATAAAATGAAGGTCCCACATCTTATATAAAATAAGAGGTCTCACACTTATCAGACATCTGGTACTTTCTGGACATGCGTGAAAACACCTAGCACCACTCTCGGAATAAATATGGTATGTATGGCAGGATCATGAAATTTAGTTTTGTTGCAGGAACACCATACAGACAATCTTACCCTGAACAGTCAGCTTGGCCACGCTCTTGGCTGTGCCCACATCGCAGGTGTAGATGTCAGTGTCGTCTTCCTGGAGGTGTTTGACGGTGAGAGATAAGACTGCTTCCTTCTGGCTCATCTCGTATCGACCGCCAGCCTTGAGCTCCGTGTGCCCTTTAAGCCAGGTAACCGCAGACGGGCTTTGAACCGTCTCGCACTGCATCGTCGCAGAGGTCTTCTCATCCGCTTTGGTGTCCTTCAGTTCTTTGATGAACTTATGGATTGGCTCTGTCAAATGTTGAGCGGTGTTACAAATGGGATGTAGAATGTTTTGGAAAAGAATTTTTAGAGTTCCAAATAGCGTTTTTCCAAATGTTGTATGTAGAAGCTCGAGAAAAAAGGAAAAAAAAAAATCGTTTTTTTTTTTAACTTGCTATGGTAACTTAAGTGACGTTACATTGTGTCTGCAGATTTAAGAAAGCCACATTTGAGGTTTCCAAGCCTTTCTAAAGACCATTTTGATCAAATTGAAGAGCTCCCCTGAAGTAAATATAATGACAGTGAATTAAAAAAATAATAATAATTTTATTTGAAGGTCACCGACCAAAGTAACAGTTTGAAACCGGTATTTCGAGATTTATATTCACAAATGCAGACTGCTTGTTTTGCTTTTTTTTTTTTAAACCTTTTTTATTGTTATTGTATCTGTGGCCTTGTTAAGAAAACTGAGCAATGGATTTAAAGGTGACTAAAATCATTTTAGTCACCTTTAAATGACTAAAATGACTAAAATTAAAAAATTACTAAAAATAGACATTTTAGTAAAATGTCTATTCAAGCCTTCATTTTGAAATACAGTATATAGTTGGGGACATTTAAGGATCCCCTGAGATCCTGTGTTAAGGTAAAATGGATGGGTTTTTGGTTCCAAAAACCCAGTAAACTAAAACAATTATGTTAAGAAGGTCAAAAGTAACGATGATTTACAGTGTACAACAACCACGTGACTATGAAAACCACAAGCTCAGAAAACTAACAAAAACAAAACAAATACCATCCCTGAATAAATTCATCCTCACCTTTCACGTCAAGCTTGGCCTTTGCGGTTGCCCCTCCGACAACCTCACATCTGTACTCCCCAGCGTCTTTACTGGAGACGTTGTGGATGACCAGCTTCATCACGCAGTCTTCCTTGATGATGTCGTACTTCTGGCTCTTCCTTATGGATTTGCCCTCCTTTGTCCATTTGACAATGGCGGTTGATTGTGTCACCTCGCAGGTAAAAGTGGCATTTTCCCCCCGAACCACATTGATGTTCTCCAGGTCCCTTGAGAGTGTTGACGCTTTTCCTGCAACGAAGCATTTTGACATTCGTTATCTTGGATTGAATCATGAATGCGAACTAAAGAAAGACAATTCACCTTCAATAGTCAGTGATGCTTTGGAGGTCAGATCCTTAATGCTGAAGATGACGTCTCCGGCATCAGCAGGGGTGACGTCCTTGATGGTCAGCATGTACTTCCGTCCTTTGCTGTTCATTTGAAAGCGGCCTCCGCTTGCAACGGTTCGGCCGTTAAGAGTCCAGGTGCACTCGTCGGTGATCTCCCGAGACAAGATGCACTCGAAAGCGCACGTCTCACCCTCGTTCACCTCAGCTGACTTCAGCCATTTTGTGATCCCGATGCCAATTTCTAGGGAGGGAAAACAGGTGCTATAAATACAACAAAGGTTACTGTTATTGTGCTCGTGTGTGATGCACGGGGGCCACCCTGATAATGAAACCAACCTCTTACAGTGACCTTTGCTTTGGACATCTCAGTTCCCAGATCGCAAGTATACTCCCCCGCGTCGTCTTTGGTCACATCCTTGATGATCAGCCCCAAAGATTTGCCCGTGTGAAGGAGCTCATATTTGGGTCCAGCTTTCAACGGGCTGCCTCCTTTACTCCACATGGGAGAGACTCTGGGTTTGGATGCCTCACAAGCCAGAGTGATGGAACCTTTCTCCTCACCGACGACGTCATCCAGAGACTTGAGGAAAAGGGCAGGCTTTTCTGGAGAGTGAACCAAGCAAATAGCGATTAGCATATTTTTTCTGAACTATACCATATTCATCTGCACAGATTCTTACCTTTAACCTTAAGCGTGACAGATTCCTTCACCTTGCGGACGTAAACTGTGATAGTACCGCCATCTTGAGGTGCCAGGTTCTTAAGTGTGAGTTTATGCACTTTCCCGTCATGGGTTATGGTGTTGACTTCATTGGTGAAGAGCGCCTTGTCATTCAGGAGCCACCGGGCCTCCTCGTCGGCATAGTTGACCTCACATGTGAACACTGCGTCGCTGTCTTCGTCCACTTCAGTGTCAGCCAGGTGCTGGGTGAATTTTATGTCACGCACTGAGAATGGAAACCAGCTAATTAGCATCGACTCAACTTGAAAATGTTGTATTTTCTATGGCAGGGTTTTCCAAACCTTTTCCGGTAAGACATTTTGCATCCACCCCAGATCCCAAACTATTACTGCAAAAGATACGTAAACTAATAACATTCTAAAGATATCCATTTATTACAACAAACATGAATTAAAAAGATGAAGAAATTTGGGTCCAACTTTTTTTCTTCTCTTTCATTCGTCGAGCAATGGGCAGCAAGGGGAAAGAGGAGTTAAGACATCCACCTCACACATCCACTTTCAGGTAACACAGTGGTCTTGTGGTTAAGGGTTTGAATTTCAGCTGTGGCCTTCTGTGTCAAACATTTTGCAATTTGGGCTTCTTCCAACAGTACCAAAACCTGCATGTTAGCTTTACTACAGACTCAAGATTGTCCATAGGTGTGAGCGTGGGTGTGAATGATTGCTTGTCTATATCCATCCATCCATTTTCTGATCCGTTTATCCTCATATATGTTGGAGCCTATCCCAGTCGTCTACGAGCAGTAGGCGGGGGACACCCTGAACTGGTTGCTAACCAATCGCAGGGCACACCTAGACGAACAACCATCCGCGTTCATACTCACACCTAGGGCCAATTTAGAGTGTTCCATTAACCTGTCTCGCATGTTTTTGGAATGTGGGAGGAAACCGGAGTACCCGGAGAAAACCCACGCAGGCATGGGGAGGACATGCAAGCTCCACACAGGACGGGCAGACCCTGCACCTCTGCACTGTGAGGCCGACGCACTAACCAGTCGCCCAGCGGGCCCGCCCTGCTTGTCTATATGTCACCTACAATTGGCAGTTCATGGTGAAGCTTGCCTCTCAGCCAAAGTCAACTGGGAAAAGTTCCAGCTCACCCATGACTATAATGAAGGCAAGCATTATATAATAGGATAGATAGATGGAGTCTCGACACAAGAAGGTTCTTTCCGTGACCTATTTGGACACACCTTTCCACACGTCGAGCAGCCCGACTATCATCACTTATTAAAAATTGCTCTGCTACCCATTTGGAAAACCCTACTTTAAAGTATAATATCAAAGGGCACCTTCAACTAGAAGATTTCCTTTTGTCACAGCAGGTCCAGACTGACAGCGGTACTCGCCACTGTCCTCTTCAGTCAGCCCATGAATGGTGAGTTGAGCCCTGGTAGCTTCTTGCTTGATGTTATATTTGTCTGATGCAGCCAGTGCTACCTGTTCTTTAAACCACTGCACTTTGTCTTTTGGCGGGATAGAGAATTTACAAGTGAGAATGGCAGAGCTTTTCTCCTTGGCCTTCACGTCTTTGATGGGCTCTGCAATCTCAAGGGGACGCTCTGAGCATAGAGCAGGCAACATTAAGAAGCTTTCTAAACAGATATGGCATTAATGAGTTATTATGGAGTTCTCACACAAGTACAGTACCTTTGACTGTAAGCTGGGCAAGTGACTTGCTCTTGCCAGCCGTGAACTGCACGGGGCCCGTCATGGATGCTTTGGTCTTTTTGAAAGTGAGACGATGCATGGTGCCCTCTGTCTCCATCTCAACATCGGCGTTCTCCTGCAGGGCGACTTTGCTGAGAGTCCAAATGGGCGGTTTCACCAGTTCCACGCTGATCTCAACTTCGAAGACAGCGGCGAAAGGTTCCGTCACCTCCACGGAACTCATCTCCCGCACAATGCTTATGGACTGCTCTAAAAGGATTCAAACAAATAAAGGATTTGCTTGAAAATTGATGAGATCATTCAAATATAAAACAACTGTGATATGAGTTCACAGTAAATCAACCTGATAAGTAATATTTTTATTTGATTTAAGAAAACTATGTTTAAGTACAAAAAAAAAAAAAAAAGGGGTGTACTGCAGTAAAATCCATATAATCTTTAATTCCTATGGAGAGTATTCAACTTTAGGGCAGCTCGGTGACCTAGTGGGTTAAAAAGTTTCCGAAATGTTTTGGAAATGTTCGTAAAATGTTCTACACCTTTGGGGCCTGTATAATGAACATTATAATCTCCAGAGTTCCAATTCGTCTATCCCTCATATACTACCATAGTCAGAAAGCAACCAACCTAATGCTTTGTAATAATGTTTAAAAACGACAATGACAAACAACATTTCCAATCCACATGAGATTATTACTGTAGGCACATGGCACATCAAACATTCATCATCAACTTGAGTCTTGCACTCCAATTACGGTAGTTAAGTGTCTTCTAAATGAATCAAACAACGGTGGGAACACACAGTGAGTTACGACCATAACACGTCAATCTGTCTTGTCAATTCAATTTAAGATGGTAAACAAATGTCTTATTGGCTTGGACTCTGGTGACTTATTTCCTGTACATGACCTCTGACCTCCAATTGTTTTACCTTCCACAAGCAGTTTACAGGATGTCTTGTCATCAGAGGCGTCGCACGTGTACGTGTCTTCGTCGTCGGCGTCCACGTTGTGGATGGTGAGCTTCCGGTACACGTCGTCACTTTTGATCTCATACTTCTGTCCGGGTTTCAACTCTGTCTTGTTTTTGAACCACTTGACTTGGGCACTGGCGCGGGACACTTGGCACTCCAGGTGGCCACGGTGCTTGTAAATGGCTATCTTATCTCGGAGTTTCTTCACAAACTTGACGGGCAGCTCTACAGCATACGAATTGCATTTGATCATGTGTGGGGATGGGGGAACTAAAATAGAATATTGCTGATAAATTCATTCATTCCAGGAGTCTCATTCAAAAAGTGAAACTCATATTATACAGATTCATTGGAACGCATAGGAAATATTCAAATTTTAGAAACTGTAGGTTTTCACAAGCTGTAAACTCATAGATCTCTTCCACATTACAAAAACATAAAATAATTCCATATTTCACTTTGTGTGGAATGAATCTGTATACTGGAATATACAAGTTTAACTTTTTTTAATTAAACCGCCGGGGGGGAAAAATCCACGATGGTCTTATCTACCTTGGCTTGTTTTAGTCAGTGTCAGTGTCTGTTTTTAACCTCCATGCAAGTTGAAAGGGGAACTTGGTCAAGTGAGTCCATCGACTTGCCACATCACATCAATCGAACCATGCTCCATAGGTGTGAGCGTGGGTGTGAATGATTGCTTGTCTATATCCATCCATCCATTTTCTGATCCGTTTATCCTCATATATGTTGGAGCCTATCCCAGTCGTCTACGAGCAGTAGGCGGGGGACACCCTGAACTGGTTGCTAACCAATCGCAGGGCACACCTAGACGAACAACCATCCGCGTTCATACTCACACCTAGGGCCAATTTAGAGTGTTCCATTAACCTGTCTCGCATGTTTTTGGAATGTGGGAGGAAACCGGAGTACCCGGAGAAAACCCACGCAGGCATGGGGAGGACATGCAAGCTCCACACAGGACGGGCAGACCCTGCACCTCTGCACTGTGAGGCCGACGCACTAACCAGTCGCCCAGCGGGCCCGCCCTGCTTGTCTATATGTCACCTACAATTGGCAGTTCATGGTGAAGCTTGCCTCTCAGCCAAAGTCAACTGGGAAAAGTTCCAGCTCACCCATGACTATAATGAAGGCAAGCATTATATAATAGGATAGATAGATGGAGTCTCGACACAAGAAGGTTCTTTCCGTGACCTATTTGGACACACCTTTCCACACGTCGAGCAGCCCGACTATCATCACTTATTAAAAATTGCTCTGCTACCCATTTGGAAAACCCTACTTTAAAGTATAATATCAAAGGGCACCTTCAACTAGAAGATTTCCTTTTGTCACAGCAGGTCCAGACTGACAGCGGTACTCGCCACTGTCCTCTTCAGTCAGCCCATGAATGGTGAGTTGAGCCCTGGTAGCTTCTTGCTTGATGTTATATTTGTCTGATGCAGCCAGTGCTACCTGTTCTTTAAACCACTGCACTTTGTCTTTTGGCGGGATAGAGAATTTACAAGTGAGAATGGCAGAGCTTTTCTCCTTGGCCTTCACGTCTTTGATGGGCTCTGCAATCTCAAGGGGACGCTCTGAGCATAGAGCAGGCAACATTAAGAAGCTTTCTAAACAGATATGGCATTAATGAGTTATTATGGAGTTCTCACACAAGTACAGTACCTTTGACTGTAAGCTGGGCAAGTGACTTGCTCTTGCCAGCCGTGAACTGCACGGGGCCCGTCATGGATGCTTTGGTCTTTTTGAAAGTGAGACGATGCATGGTGCCCTCTGTCTCCATCTCAACATCGGCGTTCTCCTGCAGGGCGACTTTGCTGAGAGTCCAAATGGGCGGTTTCACCAGTTCCACGCTGATCTCAACTTCGAAGACAGCGGCGAAAGGTTCCGTCACCTCCACGGAACTCATCTCCCGCACAATGCTTATGGACTGCTCTAAAAGGATTCAAACAAATAAAGGATTTGCTTGAAAATTGATGAGATCATTCAAATATAAAACAACTGTGATATGAGTTCACAGTAAATCAACCTGATAAGTAATATTTTTATTTGATTTAAGAAAACTATGTTTAAGTACAAAAAAAAAAAAAAAGGGGTGTACTGCAGTAAAATCCATATAATCTTTAATTCCTATGGAGAGTATTCAACTTTAGGGCAGCTCGGTGACCTAGTGGGTTAAAAAGTTTCCGAAATGTTTTGGAAATGTTCGTAAAATGTTCTACACCTTTGGGGCCTGTATAATGAACATTATAATCTCCAGAGTTCCAATTCGTCTATCCCTCATATACTACCATAGTCAGAAAGCAACCAACCTAATGCTTTGTAATAATGTTTAAAAACGACAATGACAAACAACATTTCCAATCCACATGAGATTATTACTGTAGGCACATGGCACATCAAACATTCATCATCAACTTGAGTCTTGCACTCCAATTACGGTAGTTAAGTGTCTTCTAAATGAATCAAACAACGGTGGGAACACACAGTGAGTTACGACCATAACACGTCAATCTGTCTTGTCAATTCAATTTAAGATGGTAAACAAATGTCTTATTGGCTTGGACTCTGGTGACTTATTTCCTGTACATGACCTCTGACCTCCAATTGTTTTACCTTCCACAAGCAGTTTACAGGATGTCTTGTCATCAGAGGCGTCGCACGTGTACGTGTCTTCGTCGTCGGCGTCCACGTTGTGGATGGTGAGCTTCCGGTACACGTCGTCACTTTTGATCTCATACTTCTGTCCGGGTTTCAACTCTGTCTTGTTTTTGAACCACTTGACTTGGGCACTGGCGCGGGACACTTGGCACTCCAGGTGGCCACGGTGCTTGTAAATGGCTATCTTATCTCGGAGTTTCTTCACAAACTTGACGGGCAGCTCTACAGCATACGAATTGCATTTGATCATGTGTGGGGATGGGGGAACTAAAATAGAATATTGCTGATAAATTCATTCATTCCAGGAGTCTCATTCAAAAAGTGAAACTCATATTATACAGATTCATTGGAACGCATAGGAAATATTCAAATTTTAGAAACTGTAGGTTTTCACAAGCTGTAAACTCATAGATCTCTTCCACATTACAAAAACATAAAATAATTCCATATTTCACTTTGTGTGGAATGAATCTGTATACTGGAATATACAAGTTTAACTTTTTTTAATTAAACCGCCGGGGGGGAAAAATCCACGATGGTCTTATCTACCTTGGCTTGTTTTAGTCAGTGTCAGTGTCTGTTTTTAACCTCCATGCAAGTTGAAAGGGGAACTTGGTCAAGTGAGTCCATCGACTTGCCACATCACATCAATCGAACCATGCAATAAACATGCTTAGGTCAATGTATGTTTACCTTTCACCGTCAGTTGTGCAGATGACGAGGCCTTCTCTGCTGTAAATTTAATCTCACCTATATCTGCTGCAGACACACTTTTAAACAGCAACACATAGGTCCTGCCTGTGTTTAGAAAAAACAACGACAAATCAACATCACTGTCTTCATTCCAGAATGGTATGAAATGATTTTTAAACTGTGACAATCCCCAAACATGACAGAGGAAAACAATTTTTGCATGCATGTGCTTACTGCTCTTATAGTGTGTGGATCAGTGTAGGCCGAACTTCATTGACCCCAGCCAGGCACATATTGTGCTGTATAAAATATCACATATGTGTGTAGGACCCAAATGCAGTGCCCCAGACAACAGGATAACAGGACCGTATTTTCCGCACTAAAAGGCGCACTGGATTATGATGCGCAACTTCAATGAATGGCCTATTTTGTCTTTTTTTTTTTTTTCATATATTGCACGCACTGGACTACAAGGTGCAATCTACAATGCATCCACTAAATTGAGCTACAGGTACGTCTTTGTCCATCTCTGTGCCTTCTCTTCTTCCATTAAGACTCAAGTGGCGTTCATGACCGCCTCCAAAAAACGTGAATTAACGATTACTTCAATGAAACTGTGAAAATTGAAAATACAGTAAAGCATCAAAACACAAAATAAATTCTATAGCCCCCCAACAGAATTTATTATGGCATTCCTTGAGCATAGCTGCAACAGAACGATCAGATGTCAGTAAATCGGAGGAGACTGGACTGTCTCAGAAGTGTTTCTTATTTATTCCTTTGTTGTGTACTGTATTCACAAACGAGGAAATCACAAAATAAATTCTGCAGTGGGGCTATAGAATTTATTTTGTGACTTCCTTGCTTGATTTTCTGTTTTGATGCATTATTTTCAATTTTTTTAGTTTCATTGAAGTAATCGTTAATTTACGTTTTTCGGAGGCGGTCATGAACGCCTCTCGAGTCGAACGGAAGAAGAGAAGGCACGGAGACGGACAAAGTCGTACTTGTATCTGTTGAGACTGAGAAAACCATGAATAAAGTGTGCGTTTAAAAAAAAAAACAACACCACAGCTCTCCTTTTTGCTTATTTAATAAAGCAGCGACACAGTTCACTGAACCAACAGCAAGTTATAACATTGTAAGCATGTCGCCAGCAAGGAGCCATCTTGGGGTCGACATATTACCGTAATGACCATGAACAAGGCGCACCGAACTTTAAGGCGCGCCGTGAGCTTTTAAGAAAATGGAAGACTTTTCGGTTCGCCTAATAGTGCGGAAAATACGGTCGTTGGAATTGACTTTAATAACTAATCTGCGTGTAGTACAGCAACAAAAGGGTGGGGGGGGGAATGCAGTTCATTTCAAGATCCACATGAAAAGTCCTTGAAATTTGGGAAGGGGAATATTGAGAGATTAGGAGAGCCAATTGTCTGTATGTGTGTACCACGCTCTAAATAGCCTTTTTGGAACTTTACCTTCTTGTCTCATCTTGACGTTGTCGCTGACTCTAAGTTTGGAGCTTCCCTTGTACCACTGGCACTCCACTTCGTCGTGTGAAACCTCGCAAACAAATGCAGCGCTCTCCTTCTCCATCACCTCCACATCCTCCAGCTTCTTCACAATCTTAACATCTCTGGCTGCAGCGGGGAACCACTTTTGTCATGTTTTGATTGACAAAGGTCGCCACTGCTGTTTGGATGATGTGGGACTCACCGTGAACGGTGATCTTGGCGCAGGTGCTGTCGTCGGCAGCTTGACAGATGTAAGTGCCTGCATCTTCGGGGGTGCATTTGTTGATGATCAAGGTGCGTTTTCGTCCCAAAGAATGAATGCTTAAATTTTTCCCTGGTTTCAGCTGTACATCTTCCTGTAGAATTTCATCACATTAAGATGAACACTTGTCCTAATTCACTCAGCATTCACAGGTGTGACTTCTCACCTTGAACCATTTTACATCTGCATTTGTTCTTGATACTTCACACTCCAAAGTGACCTTCTCCTTCTCAGCAACGCTGATGTCGACAATGGGCTTTGAGATCGTAACAGGGGGTTCTATTGAATAAGAATAGTTGTGTCCAATTAAGGTTACATCTGCTACATTTGTACTATAATCTTCAATGGGCAAGAATTGTACACATTTTTCTCATTAAAACGGTTATGCAGATCAATAACGAAATACTGAATCAAACTACAACTAAAGCATCGACAGATGTATGGTGTAAATTGGTACAGAAGAGGCGCGGAGATCATGAGAAATGGTTTAAAATAGTAAATCTGGCGTACAGAGTCCATTTAACTACGGTACATTTGATTTTCGCATAAATATGGTCCGTTGGAGCTGTGATGCGCCCAAATCTGAGCAGGACACATTTCGGTAATCAGAACTTGTTGCATACAAGCCATTACTGTTCAAAGCAACACTTGCATAATACAGTATGTCCCCTTTTCCACATGATCTGGGTCTTTGAAGAAACTGACCGACCGTGCGGTGTACCTGTAACAATGAGTTTGCAGGAAGTCCGGATCCCTTCCGCCAGGAAGGTGATGGTTCCCGTGTCCTCTCTCGTCAGATTTGACAAGGTAAGGCCGTGCGTTTTTCCCAGAGCTGTGATGCGGACATTGGGCTCTGATTTCAACCTGATGCCGTCCCGGGTCCACGAGCCTTCGACATCAGCCTGGCTGAGCTCCACCTCGAAGCTTACCGTCTGTTTCTCGTGTGTCCTGGTTTCCGTGAGACCTTTGATCAGCTCAACTTTCTTCACTGTGGAAGAAATTCCTTTTATTAGTAGAGTGAATATGGTTCAGACGTACCAGCGATAGGTGAGAATCTGCATTCTAATCAAAATGCTCTGTCTGTTTTCAATACAGTGATCTCCAATACATTTGCGGGTCAGCAAGATTTTTCGTTTCACATACCATTTGAAAATATTACTGTGCAGTATTTATGTATATTACCATACAAATCTGTTTAAAAAACAAATAAAATGATCGGTGTTAACTGCAGATTTTCGCAATACAGCTGGGATTTTGCTGCTGTGGACTGTAAATTTCCCCAGTGTGGGACAAATAAAGGATATCTTATCTTATTTACACAGCAGACATGCATTACAGCGAGGCTGAGCTAGGTGAACTACTGCTGGGATAATCCAACGTGCATGCTTGCATGCTTACTCTCGACGGTGAGCTTGGCCTGGGTTCTGTCATCAAGGGTTTCGCACGAGTAGATGCCGCGGTCGGCATAAGTCACACTCTTGAAGACCAGCGCCTGCTTAGCGCCATCCACCCGGACCTCCACACCCACTGAAGTCTGCAACTTGACGCCGTTCTTCATCCAGTGCACTTCGTCTGACGGCTTGCTCAGCTCCACCTCGAGCTTTGCCTCGCTCTGCTCCTCCGCTGTCATATTCTCCAGCTTCTTCTTGAATGTCACCGGCTCACCTGATTGGTAAAAAAAATAAGAGGTATTAAAAATACCGGGTCAATTGAAAATCCGGCTTTTTATCATACAGTGGGACCTCCATATTGAAATTACGTCTCAAGTGTATTCAGCTTTTTCTTTGGCTGTTTTTGTGTGTAGAAAATGACCACTTAAGAATTTTATGCACAGTTAATTCAGGCAAAATTAGGACAACATGGATGCCACTGGACTGTGTTCAACTTTGAAGGTTCCACTGTGAATGCGCTTCTCCTACGTTGCACTTGAAGCGTCGCCTTGCAGCTTTTCCCTTCGGCGTCCACGCTGATCTCCCCCGCATCCTTCAGGGTGACACAAGTGACGGCGACCGAGTGGGTGTTGCCACCATGCTCAATCTTATACTTGGCGCCATGAGCGATAGGAACATTGTTGTGGAACCATTTGACGCGTGCGTCCGCCGGGGTGACGGTGCACTTGAATATGGCATCTTTGCCCTCCATTGCGGCCACGTTGTTCAGCTTGGAAGACAGTCTCACAACTCGGGGGGCTGAAAGGAATGACCGGCATGAAACATGCACCATGACGACATGGAATGACATACGGTGCGGTGAGGAAAATAATCACTGGACCACATGTTGAATTTGTAAGTTTGAATGCTTATAAAATGTCCTGTTTATGGTTGTTAATTATTAAGACGGAATATCAGTCAAAAGTACAGAAAAAATGCACGGCACCAAAGTGTGCATTTTTACTGAGTAAAATAAGTATTTGATTCATTTTCTGACTTTCCAACCACTATGGGTGAGAAAAGGCTTGCCGAGCAAGAGACCATTTTATATAATTGTTCAGCATTGCCAGTGATTCCTGTTTCTTACCTATTGAGGAGACTTTGGCAGAGGTCTTGTCATTTTTACATTCACAGCTGTATTCGCCTTCATCTTCCTTCGTCATGCCAGTCACTATGAGGATTCGCCTTACGCCGTCTGTCTTGATGCGCAACCTGCCTCCAGGTTTAAGCTCAGAACCGTTGCGCCGCCATAGAACATCGCCTGAAGCTTGGTTCAACTCACACGTTAGATTTAAATCGGCCCCCAAGTCGACCGTGACGGCTTTCAACCGGACAACAAAGTTAACAGCTATGTCTGCAAACAAGAACGGGGTGCGTCGTAGTCAAAATGAGACGTCAGCATTTTATTTTCAGGAAAATCGGACTTACCTTTGACCTGGACTTTGAACTCCAGTTTATCATCAGCAGTCCGACAGGAGTACACACCGCTGTCTTTGAATTCAGTGGACATGACGATGAGTGTGCAAGAGAGGCCATCTTTTTTCATTTGGTACTTGGTGCTCTCCTTGAGCTCCACGTCATCTTTAAACCACCTCACGCCGCTGCTGCTCTCTGAAGTCAGCTCGCTGGTCAAAACAATCTGCTCGCTGGCCTGAATGATGCATGTGTCCTTGACGAGCTTCTTCTGGAACTTGGCAGGCACATCTACAGAGATGAACACAATCAAGTTGGCTTATATCACTGACGAAATATTGAAACGCTCGCCTGACTCGGGTGCAATCTGCGCGGATTCAGTGCTCACCAGGGCCGGGTCTAGGCGAGGGCAAGAGAGGGGTGGCCCCCCTCAAACAAATGTTGTGCCCCCCAAAACTAAATCCCCCAAAATACAGTATATGAGATTTCACATATTTTTATTATCTTATTCCTCTCTCCTCCGTTCCACTTCTTATTGTCTTAAGGTCTTACTTATTACTCATACCTGCCACCTGGAGCTTGAAGATCAACTTCTCAGCACCGGCTTCGCAGACGTACTCTCCCGCATCCTTTTTCTCCACACTGTCGATTACCAGCTGGCGACTTTTCCCCTTGGACTCTGCACGTTTTGTCTTACTACTGCCCAGCAGTTTCCCGTCCTTGTACCATTTCACCTCTATCTTGGAGTCAGCAACCTCACAGCGGAGAGTGGCTTTTTGAGATACATTTGCTTTCACCTCCTTTTGGACAGATTCTTTGTTGACGAAGGCTGGTGGAGGCTCTGATGATGAAAATCAGGAGCAATTCATTAAACTCCGCACTTAACTCATTCACTCCCAAAGACGTATTTAGATGTCTTTTCAGACGCCACACATTTAATCCCAGCTCCTCATTTTATATTGACTGCAGTTGAAAAGGGTCTGAAAGGGTCTGAAAATGGCCATTTTCAATATAAAATGAGGAGCTGGGATTAAATGTCTGGCGTCTGAAAAGACACCTAAATACGTCTTTGGGGGTGAATGAGTTAAACGATTGATTTTCTTACCAGTCACATTGATCTGAAAGACGAGCTTCTCCTCCCCGGCTTCACACGTGTATTCCCCGGCATCCTTCTTCTCCACGCTATCGATCACCAGCTGGCGAATCTTCCCCTTTGTTTCGGCACGTGTTGTCTTACCAGAGACCAGCAGCTTCCCGCCCTTGTACCATTTGACTTCCCTGGTTGAATCAGACACTTCACAGCTTAGAGTGGCTCTCTCGGAGAGAGTGGCTTTCACCTCCCTCTGGACTGTTTCTTTGTTAACGAAGGCCGCCTGGGAGTCTGAAATTAATTCAAACGAGAAAAGCAATAATGCAGTAGCTCGATCTCATACAACCTTAATACTCAAATAATCAATCCTACCAGGCACAATAATTTTGAAGACCAGCTTCTCTCCTCCAGCCTCGCAAGTATATTCTCCAGCATCACTCTTCTCAATTTTTTCAATCACCAGTTGGCGGTGATTGCCTTTGACTTCCGTGTAAAGAGTTCGACTGGAGACGAGCAGCTTGCCGTCTTTGTACCATTTCACCTCTGTCTTGCTGTCTGAAACTGTGCAACTGAGACTGGCTTTTTGGGAGAGAGCCACTTTTAATTCCCTCTGCACCAATTCCTTGTTGGAGAAGGCAGGCTGGGCTTGAGTTTCTGATAGGAAAATAGTTTTAATATCATTGAGCCTAAAAATAAAATGAGCAAATCCATATCACCATACTAAATCCTTACCTTTAATCTTAACCTGGAATGTGATTTTGTCGGTGGCCGTCTCGCAGCAGTAATGACCCTCATCGCTTTTTTTTGCATTTTTGATGATGAGTTTCCTTTGGGTACCTTTAGAGATGATGGTAGTTCTTTGGTCCTCGAAGATCTCCAGCTGGTCTTTTTTCCATGTGACCGCCGTGCTAGCAGGAGAAACGTCGCAGCTCAGCTCGAGATCTCCTTTGAGTGAGGATAACAGGCCCATTGGACCTCTGGGTTTATTTAGGAACTTGGCAGGTTCATCTGGAAAAACAGAAAAATATCAGAGTGCATGAATATTTGAACAGTGTGTACAAATAGTGTCCTTTTCTGAATAGCTGTGTGCACACATATACACTGTTCACACTGTCAAAATACGAGAGACCCCACATAGGAATAGGAAAAAAGTCAGTATGTGAAGAAATAGAAGTGGGGAGCTGTAAGCTTTGGTAACTACTAACTGCGTTGTGGTTACAAACTCTTCTTGTCATGCGATACACTAAAACTCACACAACAGCTGCGAGCTTCCTTACTGGCTCACAGAGACCACGCATGGGCCAAATTTGCTGTTCGCTACACACATAAGGATAAGTGAGCCCAAAAAAATTAATCAGGTTCAACAATTACAACTGTCTACTGCAGTTGTTGTCAGAACACGTCAGGTAGAAAAAAAACACCCCAAGACATCCCACTCACTATCTTTTGGGGATATCTGATCACGCAGCTGTTGCTGACTGAGAAAGCAAAATGCTGGAATTTGTCCCAATTTGTCATTGTGTGTATATTTGTCAGGTGTGTCATTCACTTAAGACAATTAAATGACTCCTTGAAATAAAGGCTTCTGTTTTACCACAAGCAAAAAAAAAAAAAAAAAAAAGGTTACTATTGTAAAGCTATTTATCTTCGTTCATAGATGATACTTTCCACACATGGACATGGAATTGACCGCTGGGGCCCTTTTAAACTAAGTTGCTAGATTTTACCCCCCTCATTTAGTAAAACAAGGTACATAAATTAAAACAATCAGCATTTTTCTAAGCCTGCTCTGTACCTTTAAGAGTGAGCCGCATGGAAATCTTGTCATCAGCGCAAACACACTCGTAACTGCCCACGTCTTCCTCTGTCACGTTGTGTACCCTCAAGGTCCTCCTGCGGTCCACAGTCACCGATTCATACTTCTTGCCCATTTTTACCTCCCGTCCATTTCTCATCCAAACCACCTGTGAAAAACCATTTGACATGCCAAAATTAGACAACAAATCTTCAGGCCAAAGAAAATTTCTAAAATCCATAGTTTTTTTGCTTGCTGACGGTAGTCAGTTTTGTTTAAACACACCAAGTCAAAAATATGGATATATTTCACGAAAATGTAATTTCTGATAGCTAATAATTTATACAAAATCAACATTGAATTAAAATAACTATGAGTTAATTCCATTATAAAGAGGATGACGATACTTGTGCAGCCTGAACTACCGGAGACAAATTCCTTGTGTGTTCTACATACTTGGCCAATAAAAATGATTCTGATTCTGACATACTGCTTTGACGGTAATTGGGGAATGATCCAACACCACATACCTGTTGGAGTCAAGTATTATTAAGGAACACAAACCTGCGCATCGTAATCCGACACCTCAGCTATCATCTGAGCAGTGGCTTGGGCGCTGCAGAACACCACCTCTTGCTGATCTGACTTATTGATGAACCGGACAGGCGGCGCTACATTAGATATAAGAGGAAAGGGAGTTATCAAAAGATTTCACAGAAAGCAAAAGCAAAAACAAGCAAGCGACATTGTGACATACCCTTGACAGCTAGGATGCAACTGCTCTGTGAGCCTCCGCCCACAAATTTGACTTCTGTTCCGTTCATGTCCAGAGTCGCTTCTCGGATGAGCAGCGTGTGTACGTTCTTGGAACGGGTGATGAGGTAGTCGCCACCACTTCGCAGCAGGCGGCCATTTAGAGACCAGAAGCCCGAGCAAACGCCTGAGAGCTCCACCGAAATGGAGAACTCTTCACCGGAAACTGCGGTGCTGTCCGCAAGGCCTTTCGTGATTTCAGCAGTGGGTTCTAAACACAGAAACCAAATGTGAGGGAAGACGTTTCAGTGGCATACTACTACAGTGCTTTGTCAGACCAAAAAGATCCATCTTACCAAGGTAGAAGCTTCCAGGCACCTCCAGGTAGTCACTCTGACCAAAGTCATTGATGGCAGATATACGGAATTGGAAAGTGGCTTCCTCTGTGAAGTTAGAGATTGTGATCTCCGTTGACAAAATCGTTTCTCCAACGTTGCACCTCTGCCAGGTCTGAGTGCCAACCTTCCTCCTCTCTACAATGTAACTCTTGATGGGCACGGGGCGGCCACTGTCTGGAGGAGACCACTGCAGGGTGATGGATGAGTCCGTCTTGTTTTGCACCACAGCATCGACCGGGGGATCGGGAGGATGCTTCCTTGCCGCTGAAGAGCAAAAAGACTGATGCAATTGAGTCATCAAAGATAGACATTTTTTTTTCTGATTGACAGCTAAATTTAAGTAGAACGCAAAGGCAAATCAGGAGACAGAACCTAAACAGCTGCGAGTGTGAGGGCCATTGTAGCTTTTCATCACAGCAGAATGGAGATTTCCTCACCGGTGACAGAGAATCGAGTGGACGTCTTGCAGTCTCCAGCCACAAAGGCCACTTCTCCTGAATCATCCGCCTGACACTCCCGAATGGTCAGCGTGTACTGGCGGTGCAGGCAAGCGATGGAAATCCGGGAATCCGCCTTCAGCTTTTCGCCGTTGCGGGTCCAGTAGACGTCCGGACAGGGCTGCTCCAGCTCCACGCAGAAGATGACGGTGTCGCTGATGGGAACGACCGTCTTCCGCGGAAGCTTCTTTGTAATGTTGCCTGCAAAGTTGGATGTGACATTAAAACGGTCTAACCCGCATGAATTTCTAGTCACATTTTTTTAGTCTGGCACATTCGATACGTAGTTAGGTCAGTATAACTACGCTGTGCCCGAGCCACATGTTTACTCTGGACACAAATTCAGTGCCGATCAACCTCTGGCTAACCGACGCAATGACGAGTGGCATGCTTTCTGGCAGTACCTCCAACACATTCATTTGAAAAGACATAAGGCCAACAAGAATAGCAATGCACAGTGTGACCCAATATATAAGAAATGAAATCGTCAACTTTACCCAGGACGGTGAGCTCGCCCACTGTGCGGCTGCCCTCCTTCATCTCACAGATGTAAACGCCGTCATCGTTGGTGGTCACGTTGTGTATGGTGAGCCGACGCAGGGTGCCTTGTTCCTCCATGCGATACTTAGCGTTTTGCTCCAGGCGCGTTTCCTCCATGAACCAGTCAGCCCTGCTGCCAGTCAGCGGCACCTCGCACATCAACGTGGCCGACGTTTTCTCTTGGACCGCCACATCTTGAAGCTTCCTCCTGAACGGCACCTTTGGCTCTGGCACAAGAGAGGAAGAAACGGTTTTAATGTAACACTGTCTGCATTTGGTAATATTCTTGAGCCGCTTTTATTAATTGCCTCAGCGTATTGTATTTAGGTCGGGTTGTAAATTTCCATTAAAATTAATGGGAATTTGGCAAAATATCACTGATTAACTTCGAAAATGAACAGATACGTTCTAATTTTGGTCGATTGAGCCATTCTTGTTCACTTGTGTACATTTCTCTTCTTCAAAAACATGCTTGTAGCACGATGGTTATTTGTGTTATCCTCAAGACCAGACCATCCGAGACCAAGACTTGTCCGAGACCAGTTTCATGTTTTGATCAATTTCGACCCCGGGGGAAGGTACACGAGTTCGCACTAGCGCTAAAGTGAAGAAACCCCGCATAGCAACTGTGAACTTCTCAACGGCAGCAGAAAATAGATGCAACACTACACCTTCCCTCAGAAGACAAGCCATGATTGAATCATGTTGCGACAAGCTGCACGCATTTTAAAATGGTTTCAGGCTGTGAGTGGACATGGAGTTTGACCTACTGGCACTGACAGTATATGCAGTAGCTCCTGCTGCTTCTTTCATACCACTAAAGTTGGCAATGAGCTAACTTTAATTTATCCTTCTACTCCCACACGCTCACTGGCCACTACATTTGGTACACCTGCAAAATCTAAAGCAAATGTTCTGTGAAAAAGAGATTCTGACAATACATGTACAGTTACATAACCCTAACCCCAACCCCCAAAACGCAGAGCCAGCAATTTTGATCCATAGTGGCTGAATAAGTGAAAGTCAACTTGTTAAAGTGTCTTTAATTAAGATATTAACACAAAATAATAAACATAGTGCAAAGAATAGCAATGGTTGTTCTTAAAAAAAAAGTAAAGAACAAATACAAAAGGGGGTAAATGTAGGCTATAAATAACAGAACAAATTTTTACTTTTTTGTTTACATTTCTAACCCTTTCATGCACCCTGTAACCTGATATGATAAGCTATCCGCTGTCGTAACCGCTGTGCCTGAAAGTGTTCAAATAGATTTTTTGGTTTTAGAAACTGTAAAATGGGGAAATTTGACACGATATAGCAAGAGGGAAAATACTGTGCTCTACGTTAAGTAGGCATGGGCAGACATTCAATTCTGATGATATGACAACCGTGAGCAAAAATATGGCGGTATCACGGAACAGTATTAAAATTTCAGCTCTAAAATATGAAATATTTGGGGAAATAAAAACAGCATTATTTTCCCATTGAACACAATCTATTTTATTTTCAAACTAAATATTGAATAGTTAGTGCAGAAGAAAGGTGTATTAGGTTAAGTTTAAACGAATGCTAACATTCTTTTGTTTTAATTCTTCTTAGTAAATCACAGTGTCTTATCACTGGTGCGCTAGTCTTAGAACAGAACCATGGGCTAATCAAGTTGCCCTTGGGGCTAACTAGTGTCCACTGGCACTTTTTTCTTTTAGGACAATGCACATTAATGAGTGCAAAAAGGCATCAGTGTTTCCAGTGACTAGTCTTGCATGCTCCTTCCTCCTCCTCCGCGCTGAAGATGAAAAAAAAAAAAAAAAATACCGGAGGCAATTAACTTTCAAGAGGGGGCTTATTTACTCAATTCTACAATGATATGTCGCCCTGCTGAGATGTCGTCTCAAAAAAAGAAAAGGAGGACTCATTACTGGTGACAGCCCATATTAGGAGTGATTGTAAACTTGACATAAACTGTGAAACCGAGGATAGTTAAAAGCCACTTACCCTTGACTGTTACCAGCACAGCACTGTAGGTCTGACCAGCCATATTGGTGGCATTGCAGGTGTAGAAACCGTTGTCGTCCTGTTTGCAGTAAAGGATCTTGAGGATGAAGTTCTCTGCCTGGTCTTCATACATGACGTGGCGGCGGCCCTCGCTGATATTTGCTCCGTCCTTTCTCCAGATAATGTGAGGCTTGGGGTGACCCGTCACGAAGCAGCTGAGTTTGGCGTGCTTTCCCTCCGTCACTGTGCAGGTGCGGGTGAACACACCCTTGGGCAGTTTTGCCAGTACCGACGACCTCACCTCATGCTCCAGACTCAGGGAACTCAGACTGTCTGTGATTTTATCTGAGGCGGCGCTTTCCTCGTTACGAAAGACAGCTATGTCCTTCTTCATTTCTTCTTTACGTTTCTGGAGGTGAGAAAGGAGGGAGGTGTGGGTTTCCGCTGCGAATTGGTGGGCACCCTGGGCATCCACCACCAGCATGGCGGCGGCGTGCGCCCGGCCCAAAGTGTTCTGGGCCGTGCAGATGTACGTGCCGCTGTCCAGGTTGCGCACGCTCTGGATCTTTAAGCTGCTGCTGTCGCTCTCCGAAATGATCTTGATGCGGTTGGTCTCGCCCAGGTAGCGTCCGTCCTTCTCCCAGTCGAAGTTGGCCTCGGGGTGAGCGACTACTCTGCAGTGGAACACGGCATTGTCCCCCAAACCCACACGTGCTGATGTGGGCTTGAGCATGAAAACGGGGGCTCTTGGAGTCATCTCTGCTGGGAGGGCCACTTTGAGGGTCACGGCTGCGTAGGCCTCGCCGACACTGTTCTTGGCCCTGCACAGGTACTGACCGCTGTCTTCCAGCGCTAAGTCATAGATGGTCAGACGGTAGACATCCCCATCTTCCACAGTCTTGAAGCGGCCCCCGGATGTCAGTTTCAGCTTTTCTTTCTCCCAGGTGATAAGTGGTGTGGGGTTGCCAACAATGGTGCAGCTCAGCGTGGCGTCCTTGCCGACGCACACGGCGAACGCTTTGGGCCGGGTGAGGAACCTGGGGGCCCCTCCAAACAAATTTTGATCCATGGTTTGTACCTACAGTTCAGGAAAATAATTTTCAGGAACAAAACTAATAATAGAGGAATACAAGTTATAATAACGTTCACTCAGGGCAGAAAAGTGAGCATGTCAGAATCCATTGTTTCCATGCATATTAAGTTTAGCATCACTAGCAAGATAAGCGGCAAAAGCAAAACAAAACAGACAAGATTCAAACAGATGAACCTTCAGTTGCTGGTCTCTATGAAGAGAGCCAGAGCTGCCAAGGACCAGCATGTTGCTGGGGCCCTGCCAGGAGGTGGTGCTAGCATCTCGGTTTTGTTGGATGCTATTGGCTCAGTTAATCGAGGTGGTTGCTCAGTGAAGGTTCGGCTGTTCAAATCTTGGCTGTTTTGTTTTGCTTTCGCTGCTGGTCTTACTGGTGGCACCAGCGTGAACATGAGCCAGGACCACCCCCTCAAAATAGGCTGATTTCAACCCTCATACTGAGTGACTGCTGTACGTTCTTACCAGTGGCGGATGTTGGTCTGTCAAGGAGGGGAAGCTCAATTTTGGCCTACATCATAAAATGTGTCCGTTTATTTTTAACAAAGGGTCTTAACTGTGGTGATATAAGTCAGTCTGTGAACACAAGCTATTACAATAAAACCCACCAGAAATAAAAGATTAATTTGTCGCGAGTCGTTTTCAACAAAGAGAGTGTCGCGAAGATGATTGGAAGAAGTCTCCAGTTCAACTCAGAACAGAATGAAAATTGAAAAATGCTCCCACGGATCCCGACACCAAAAGATCGGTGATTGGCTCATTTCGCTGTCAATCAAAAGAGATTCCGCCTCAGACAGATCATTCAATCATCATGCAGAAAGCTGAGCGTCCCGGCCCGCCCATAAACGCTCACTGTCCATAGACTCCCAGAGACGCTGAGCGTCCTATGGGCGGGACAAAACCAGCATTTATCCAATGATTCGCCTCGTTTCAATGCATTGGGATTACTCTCTCGACGCCCAGCATCCGCGCTGGAGACGCTCAGCGTCCACACAGTTTAATTAAAGCACAGTGAAGTAGTGATGGGAATTCCGGCTCTTTTTAGAGAGCCGGTTCTTTTGGCTCGGCTCACTAAAAAGAGCCGGCTCTTTCGGCTCCCAAATGGCTCCTCAGTTTTTTTGTTGCTTAAATTAGTTTACCCCCAAAAATAATGTAAAATTACGTGTAAAATGAATTACGAATGTAAAAAATATACAGTATATCAAATATTTATTATTTATATGGCTTTATATTCTTCTGAACATACTCAACATGGCGTACAACATGGAGTGCTACAAAAAAATAAATTACAAAGTACAAAAACAAAGACCCATCTCAAAACAAGGTCAACAAAAAGTTCCAATCTCTGATTGTGCATATTTATAAGTGTTTAAATATTTACAGTAAAACAACATAAGTAAGCTTTGATTACCA